GATCATGCATTCTATTCCCCGGGGGTAAATAGCCGGGCGGAATTAAGACCCTCGCACGGCACGGGGGTTATTTAATTAGTACCAGCAATGTTTGAGTTTGCTTAAGGCAATAAAACTAAGGGCAAATTTTCCAAAGCTAAGATCCAATATCTGGTGCTAATAATATGATATAACAATTTTAATCGCTGTGCGAGGGTACTAATTCCGCACGGCTAATTATACCCAGGTATGTGAAAACATAGCGCGGAGTGCAAAGTTGTCCTCCATTTTGACTTAATTTGCTGTTTTACAGCAATTTTTGTTTTAAATTTCGTTATAAAGTTTACAAAAGTGCAACACGGTTTTTTCCTGATTTTAACTGGAAATAAGTCTGCAGTTTCATGAATTAGTGGCTGTTCAACCGTGAAACAAAGTTTCTATAATAATTGTTTTGATGTTGATGTCTTTGATAATTTAATCGTTGTTGTGCCGGTTTGGGTAAGTGTAAACATTTCAGTAGTAAAATTCCATGCCGTACTTGCTTTGTGTTGTCGGTTTTATTCATATCTGCGCAATGTTTAATTAAGCCGTTCTTAACTCGATAATTCACTTTAATGCCAGCTGGTATGCATGAAATTGCAGTGAATGTTTAATATGTTATCGTTCATTATAAAGCTAGCGCATCAGTTGTGTTTTAATTTATGTTTGTTTATAATGGTCTTAATACTTTATGTGGAGTTTTTATACTTCATCTGTTAAGAAAGGCGAGGGGTTGCTACATGCATGTACTTTCTAGTATAACATATAATGCAACGCTGAATTACTGTAAATGACTTGAAATTTCGAAATGAAAGACAAATGCTGCAATGTTGTAAGTTCGTGTTGTTCAAAAGTTAATATGGGCACTAACAAAAACTGTGGTTCAATACAGGTACAAACCAGTATTCCCTCAGCGCTGTTTCCTCTAGCTACGCTTCCATGTATCTTAAGGGCCTGTCGCTACAAATATATTTCGGGAAAAAATTCGGGAAAACTCCGACCAAATATATATAACACTATTCTTAGCGCACGTAATTAAATTCGAAAATTAAAGACGCTCATAACAACAGGAATACGAGATCACCGGTATTAATTATATATTATACAAGTGGGTCGTTCAAAGAAGTATGAAACGTCAAAACAGCGACCGGCGGCTTCATTCTTGTTCAATTCCAGTTGGGAAGCAAGCCGTAAAGGAACAGTCCACCTATCCTAAAATTCGTGTGAGTCGTGCGCAGTTCCCCTGCATGAGCCAAATTGTTGAACAGCTGTTGAAAACGGCTTGCATGGACGCTGATCAATATTCCAACATTAATTAAAATTCAGCTGAGCATGAATACCAGCGCCAAGAAATAGAATTACTACTAACATTCAACAAAATTTATAGCTTATTAATATATATACCATTAAAACTCTTCAATTTTCAAGATTACCTGGAAAAACCTGAATAATATTCTTCTTTCGCAATAAATTAAGATAAAATTTTGTAATTTGCTATAAATTAAAAATGCCATGATACATTGGTCGATCATGAGTCATGTATTGGGGCAGATCCTTGATTAAAAGCATGCATTTGCATGATTTTTCCATAGGACTCCGTAAAACTATAAAACAATATTAACGTACTCTATAAAATGTATAATTTCAACGAGCAATATAATATTTTTCCCTGTAAGTTTAAACATTGATCGACTCATAGTTGACTCAAAAATATATACTCTTATAAAATGTTTTAAGTAGTTAATGACTGTTATGCAAACTTTGTATACAATTTTTTTTGTCTTTTAAGTGTTTATCACTACCTTCTGTCGTCTTCAGCAGACATCCAGCTGCATCTACAAAGTATTTTTACCTTTACATTACCGAAAATGGCAACCATGCAGGTTTCAAACGATGTTCTTCTCTTTTCAGTTGTGTTTAAATTCATTGCGATGATTATTGGAGTTTTGGGAAATATCACAGTCATAATTTATACAATTCTCACGAGCAAAGAAAACACATCGACATCTTACTTGGTAGGAAACTTGGCACTGGCAGATCTTCTCGTGTGTTTAACATTTTATCCAATATCGATCATTGAGATTATACAAATTATTCCAAACATTGATAGTGATCCGGGTCTATTTTGTAAGTTACATCGTTCTACCATCTGGACATTGCTATTTGCTTCAGTGGCGACACTTCTCGCAATTACTGTTGATCGGTATTTGTATATTGTAAAACCTCTCAAGTATCCACTGATTGTGACCCAACGACGAGTTTTCCTGGCCATTTCGGGAACTTGGATAGCTGCCTGTTGTCTTTGCACAGTTTTACTAATTCATTTTGGGAGATTTGACTGGGCACTAAGAAGTGTTTGCCCCGCAGGTGAATACACGTACTTGTTATTGGAAATCTTTGTTGGCTATGTTCCACTTATTTTAATCTTTATTCTCAATTTCCGAATTTTCAACGTCGCACGGAAACAACGGAAACGAATCTTGGCTGAACCAACAGTAACCGTTAACATTTCCAGCGAACTGTCACCCAAAAGACAGATTGGCATCGTCCGCCTTCTCGTCGGTTTCAAAGCAGCAAAGACATTTGCTATGGTTGTCGCAGTGTTAACATTCTGTGTCCTTACTGCAACTGTGGTTAGCAAAGTCATAAAACATTTTTGTGAGTCGTGCCATCAGATGTGGTACATTGTAATTCGGTACGACTTTTATGGAATGAACTCAATTGTGAACGCTTTCATCTATGGAATAAGACATATCAAATACAGAAAAGCTTATGGAAATATTCTTTTGAGATTACTTTTGTAAAAAACTCACAAACTAAGGGTTTCTCCCAGTTGGCTCTGAGAAATTAACACTATGCAGGTTTATACAGTGCTTCTCCTGGCCAATCGCATTTTGAAGATGAGCGATATGTACTTATATTGAAGGTGCATAATGGTAAAATATTGTTGATGTATCTCGGTCAAACTTTACCTAGCAATAACGTGTTCCATGTTGGATATTCAATTTAGGATAATTTTCGCAAGTACTACATCAAAAATTATGGAAACCTTGCAAAGGAAGATCAGATCAAAAAGAATTAATATAGTGCAAAGAGAACATGCAGGGTGTTTGTTAAAATGGGATAGTTCATTATTTTCATTCGAATGAAATAGTATTGTAGCATTACAAATATTTAAAATACTATGTAAAACGTTTTAATTAATATGTTAATTTGGGCATTGCAAGAACTTGTAAAATAGAGAGAATAGTATTGAATTTTGCATGGTGTTGAATAGGCACCCAATAAACTAGAAATACACTAGTTAATGCCTCAATTCGGTTAGTTAATATTTAAGAGAGCTATATATGAGACAGTAAAGCACACACAATGTTGTGGGAGAAGGGTTGTTGGGGAGAAATGCTCCGAATATATACTTTCAACTGGTCAAAGTGTCGCCCCACAGACTCACAGTTACTCTAATTAATGCCCTCGGGGGTCTGGGTCCCCATATTGGGCTGTCCTCAGGGGGTCTGGGTCCCCATGTTGGACTCTAGTGTAATTAATGCCCTCAGGGGGTTTTGGTCCCCATGTTGGGCAATCCTCAGGGGGTTTGGGTCCCCATGTTGGACTCTAGTGTAATTACTGCCCTCAGGGGGTTTGGGTCCCCATGTTGGGCGGTCCTCAGGGGGTTTGGGTCCCCATGTTGGACTCTAATGCAATTAATGCCCTCAGGGGGTCTGGGTCCCCATGTTGGGCATGATATACTTCAATCTAACATTTTTAATGTATGGTACATCGATTTGTGAGTCTATGGGATGAGGGTGACCTATGGGAGCACTCCATCCCCAAAACCAAAATTTTTTATTTTTAAAGACCTTCCACATATTTTACAAGTAGTAACTATTCTACTGTTCAGTAAACGCTGCGAGCATTGCAGTCCATGCTAGTCTGTCTTGATAATGACCCATGCAATATAACAACAGGCTATAATACAGTTTGTTTGTTTTTTTTGTTTTTTTTTTGTTTTTTTTCCTACTAAGCTATGATAAAGTGGTGCAACATCATTGACGGGTGGGGTGGGTGGAATTTAAGCAATTTTTTCGCTGTGAAGTGTCCTTCACTTTGGCTCACCGGCAACACAATGAAGCCTGTAGCCCAGGCAGGAAGCATAAGCAAACAAAACAGTTGGACCTGATTGGTCTATTTTCCCACATGCATGGGAAGAAGTGTTTGACAGTGGTTCATTGTTATTTACCGAGTGCTTTGCACGTGAGTGATCACGCGTTTTAAGACTGACCTTTGTGCCTAACCTGGTCAAATCAAAGGACTTTGCACAACTTTGGTTATATCCGAACGCTTGTTTCATTAACTTAAGTTTATAATGCCTATGGGCACGTATAAACTTGCTTTAATGCCTCAATTCGGTTAGTTAATATTTAAGAGAGCTATATATGAGACAGTAAAGCACACACAATGTTGTGGGAGAAGGGTTGTTGGGGAGAAATGCTCCGAATATATACTTTCAACTGGTCAAAGTGTCGCCCCACAGACTCACAGTTACTCTAATTAATGCCCTCGGGGGTCTGGGTCCCCATATTGGGCTGTCCTCAGGGGGTCTGGGTCCCCATGTTGGACTCTAGTGTAATTAATGCCCTCAGGGGGTTTTGGTCCCCATGTTGGGCAATCCTCAGGGGGTTTGGGTCCCCATGTTGGACTCTAGTGTAATTACTGCCCTCAGGGGGTTTGGGTCCCCATGTTGGGCGGTCCTCAGGGGGTTTGGGTCCCCATGTTGGACTCTAATGCAATTAATGCCCTCAGGGGGTCTGGGTCCCCATGTTGGGCATGATATACTTCAATCTAACATTTTTAATGTATGGTACATCGATTTGTGAGTCTATGGGATGAGGGTGACCTATGGGAGCACTCCATCCCCACAAATGAGCAGCATGCACATTCCCCATAGACGAACTCCCTCCCCCTGAAATTTTTTGAGATAAATTTTAAATATTGGCGAGTGTGGCTGAGACATTCAACAGTGTTGACGAAGGAAGTTGTATATATCGTTCATAACAGTCTGAGGACCACCGACCCAAAGTTTTTATGAGCCAGGAAGGTAATTTCGCTGTGGCTGCCGTAGTTGCAGCACCGATTCTGTAGCTATGACCGGCAAAGTTTGAAGCGTTGAATCCGGCTTGACTGAGTAATTTTCTTGTTTCAAGTGTTAGGGCCTGTTTTGTAAGTGGTTTACCCGCAGAATTTACAAACAGAGGCCCTGCTTTTGGCTGCCTTCTGGCTAAATACTGTTTCATGGCCAATACTGGGCAGAGAGGTGTGTGTGTTCCTCCAATACTTATGGTATGTCCCACCCGAAAGGGGTCAGTTTTGGATTCTTTTATCCGTATGGACATAGCAGTGGTTGGTTGTAGGTCGTTGGAAAAAACAACGTCTTCAGGCATGAGGTGCGAATCTGAATTGAATTTTGAGTTACAAGTTAACTCTCCAAGCCGCAGAAAGCCAAAAAATGCCAATGTTATGGCAGCCCAAACCATAATTGAGTCGAAATGTGTTGTGACAGGTATTGCCAGCATCATGTGAAAAAGTTTTAAATGATGGATTGTTATTGGAAGGCGCACTCTTTTCTCATCGCCTTGGGAACGTTTTATACCCCGAAGAACCAGCTGGAGACGTGACATCTTTTGACAATCCAACGGAAAACCATTTCGTATGTGAAAATGACGAACCGCTGCAAGATAGTTTTTTATAGATGTGTGTTTGATGGTTTTGGCTAAATAGGCTGAAAATTGCACGAGTGTTTCTTCACTTGCTGGTAGAAAGTGCTTTCCTTCATGGGGTCGATATAATTTTACAAAAGCAATAAACCGTTTCTCACCAGCGCTGTATGTCTGTTTGGTTGAGGCGGCCACAGACAAATCAATGTAATATTCTATGTCATTCTTTAGATTTTCAACAGAAGGACTGGAATTTTTTGAGGGTTGACATCTGCTTGAGGCATTAGGAGTCGAAACCTTTGAAACTGGAAACGAGAAAGGGAATCAGCAATCTCATTATACTTTCCCGGTATGTGTTTGGCCCGAAGGTATATATTGTACTTTAAGGTCAACAGTGTGAGATGACGGAGAAGATCCATTACCCGGGAAATTCGCGATCGTTTGGAATTAATAATGTTGACAACTGATTCATTATCACAGTTCAGGATTATCCTTCTGTTTTGAAGGGCTTCCCCCCATATGTGACATGCAACTACTATGGCAAACAATTCTTGCCAAGCAATACTAATCTCGGGCTGTCCTAATTGTTGATGAGGTTCCCATTTTCCTTGAAACCATTTCCCCCCGAAAATCCCCCCGTAGCCCAACACCCCCGATGCATCAGTGTGGAGCTGAAGGCATTCAGAGTTTTCCCATGAAGAAGACAAGAAAAAACTGGCACCATTCCAGTTAACGATAAACTGTTTCCACATCTCGAGATCCTTAAAAAAGCCTGCACTAAGCTTTATGTGATGGTGGGGCTGTCTTATGTTTCTTGTCAATTCAATCATTCTTTGTAAATAAGGGCGACCCGGTGGGATAACCTTGCATGCAAAATTTAAGGTACCTATAAGTGACTGAAGTTCTTTCAAAGTACATGACCGCCTTTTTTGGAATGTGTTGAAAACTGCTCGGAGGCGTTCAATTTTGTCATCCGGCAGCCGTGCTTCCATTCGAACGCTGTCCAGGATAATGCCCATAAACTCTAACACAGTTGCAGGACCTTGTGTCTTGCCCGGGGCTAATGGGATGTTAAGGTTCTTAAATGTAAGCATCATGGCAGTTAGACTTTGTTGGCAAGTGCTATAGTGTGGGGGCAGTTGGGATGGTGGCTCCATGATAAGAAAATCATCCAAAATATGACATACAAATGAAATCATGCACTTATTTTGTAAGATCCATTCAATAGCATCAGAAAGTTGGTTGAACAGATATGGAGCACTTCGTAGGCCGAAAGGTAAAACTTTGTCATAATAGTATTTCCCCTCCCAATACATACCGAGAAGCTCATAGTCGTCCGGGTGCACAGGAATGAGACGAAAGGCGGATTCAATGTCAGTTTTAGCCAGAAAACAGCCGTGTCCGAAACGCTTAATACCTTCAATCGCATTGTCAATTGTCACATAATGGAGACTAAAATCTTCCTTTGGAATTGATGCATTAATACTTGTTGCACCTGATTTTGGAAAAGAAAGATGGAAAATTGTTCGAAATTTTGTCGAATTCTTTTTTGGTACCAGGCCAATAGGAGAGACTTGGAAATTAGAAAAAGGTGGGGTCTTGAACGGACCAGCCACACGGCCAAGGGAAATCTCATGTTCCAAATTTGATGTTACAATATTTGGATGGGTAAGGGCAGTGGGCAAATTTTTTGAAAATCTAGGTGCCCTTTGCCCTTCAAAACCTATTCGGGCTCCATCCTTTAAATTTGAACATAATTGTGAAACAAGCGTTGGGTCGGGATGTCCCGCTAGAGAATCTTCTAAATTAGCTACAAAAATAGGTGTTAGTGATCTAACTACATTACTATCGTTTGTCTTGGTTGGAATGGCGCTGGCTGCTGGATGAATGGACCTTTCCTTGTTTTCTATATGGTTGGAGACTTTCGCTCTCTGTACAGTAAAGACCGGCATGTTCCCCGTCACAGCGATTGCAGATATGTCGGTACCTGCACTGCGCTCGTTTGCAAGCGCCGCTCCTATTGAAATCTCGGCAAATGCCCCCTTGTTCGGTCCCCGGGGTGGCATAGTGTTGAGGTCCTTTATGGAAAAGAGGGTATTCCTCTCTAAGACTGGCTGGTGGTACTGTAAAGGTCATCAACCATAATTGCTGGTCTATTTCGGACCAGTTGAGGGATAGGTTAAGTGCAGCCTTCCGACGAAACTTGATGTCGTAAATACACCAACCCACCCCTTTGTGACAATGAGCAGCATGGCGAATAATGGTCATATATTGCAACAATTCCTGGGCTCTGTTAGGGAATTGATGCGTGAAAACGCTCATATAGGTGGTGAAGGCTGTTGTCCACTTATCAATGTCCGTGATATTTGTTGTGGACTGCTTAACTTTAACAATAGAGTTTTCGACCGTTAGTACAACGGGCTGTTCATCTACCGTATTGCATAAATTTTTTGGCAAAAGTTTTGACAGCTCAAAAAACTCACCCGACTGGATCTTCTTCACGTACGATGCCGGTAGGTCGTGGAAAGATTGTCCGTATGGGAGATGATTACTAGCGGGAAGACTCTGCGAAGAGGAATGTGGCGCTTCGGGCTCGAACGTTTGGAACCTTGGCGTCGAGATTGGCGTGGTGTGGTTTATCAACACTGGGCAAAGCTCCGTGCCCGTGGTTTGTTGTGGCTCATTCGTAGGCGCTGACGAAGGCGCAGTTGCCATGGCTTGTACTGCAGCACGAGCGGCGTTTGTTGCGATATCGTTCACCGATTGTTCGACCGTCTTCGCGACGATTGATTGGATTTGGGCCAACTGAGCGTCGTTCAGCAGAGGGTTTTCGTTTGAGCTTTCGTGTGACACAGATCTTCGCTCGACGAGTGGTGTTTGCTCGCTGTTGTTCGCAATATCAACAATTGTCGCTGCTTCTGTGGCGGTATTGTTCGTCGACGACGTTGAAGCATGTTGTTGCAGTCTCGCGACCAGCGTATTTCGACGACCATGGTCAGATAAACCTTTTTCTAGACATTGTTGTCGAAGATCGTTTACCGATGGCTGATTTGCATTCTCTGCGCGTTGTTGTACAGCTGTGCGTTGGCGTCGGGCGGGAGGCATTGCCTCGTGAGAGATATATTACAAATTTAAGCAATTTTTTCGCTGTGAAGTGTCCTTCACTTTGGCTCACCGGCAACACAATGAAGCCTGTAGCCCAGGCAGGAAGCATAAGCAAACAAAACAGTTGGACCTGATTGGTCTATTTTCCCACATGCATGGGAAGAAGTGTTTGACAGTGGTTCATTGTTATTTACCCAGTGCTTTGCACGTGAGTGATCACGCGTTTTAAGACTGACCTTTGTGCCTAACCTGGTCAAATCAAAGGACTTTGCACAACTTTGGTTATATCCGAACGCTTGTTTCATTAACTTAAGTTTATAATGCCTATGGGCACGTATAAACTTGCTCTAAATAATAACGTAAAATATTTAATCCTGTTAGTCCAACTTAACAACACCTAATCCAACCATAGACATCTTATATACACTAGATAGCGCATCTCTTTTAGTAAAATTGAAGCCAAGAATATTCCAGCGGTTACCCCCATTTGAATAGATGGCGGCCATATTGGTCGTTCCCACTTGCTAATAAACGCTTAAAAACAACAATAACTTTCATCATTTGAATAGTTTAAAAACGCATTTGGAATAGGGTTACGAATCTTCTCATTTCATGGGAACGACCTGAGACTGCAATCACGGCTTCAATTTTTGAATTGCAGAATAATTAGATGCACTATCTAGTGTATATAGGATATCTATGAATCCAACTCTTATACGATTTTTTCGTGATTTTTAAAACCTATTTTAGTGACTTACCGTTACCAGCAGTACCAACCAAAAACAAGCGATCTTCGTTTAACATTTGTCATTTGTGATGGTACCATATCTTCCCCTGAAATGCAGGTAAGATTTATTCTATGATGAAAAATTCCGTATTCTTACCTTGAGTTTACTTTCTTATATAGTCAATATATACGTATTATATTACTTAACAATTATATTCGCGGAAGGCGAGGTGATTATTGGTGAACAAAAACCGAGACGAAGTCAAGGTATATACACATTTCTTGGTCATTTACTTGGACAAAATGGCTTGCTGCCATTTTGAAAAACTCTTTAGGTGATTATCGCGTTAGAATTACCTCATCAGAAACCAATCAGCGTGGAGAATTTTCAATAATCACCTATGTAATTATACTAATTTGTGTTATTGTTCACTCGGGAGGTAAAATTTTCTGCTTGCGCGGTCTAGAAATTATGAAATATTTCACTCAAGAACAATTTCTCCTCATATATACACACACAATATATACTCCTTATATACAGGGTGTATAAAAAAAAACTGCACAGATTTGAAATTGCTCTTAAATTCGCAAAACAGCTATTAGTATCCAGTTTTTGATGTATATAGCTTCTTCGGGTACTTATAATGTAGAAAAATGGAAAAAATTTCTCGAACTCAAATTTTGTAAACCAGGGGGTGTGTCTTTTCCAACAAACTAAAAATGGCTTGCGCACGAAATTTAAAAGCTTTAATCATATTTTGAGTTGATAGATGGAACATTTGTTGGGATTTTAATTACTGTACAAAATTTCAGACAATTTGCTTTAGTTTAACTATTCATTTTTCTCTAAAAAATTAGCCTTTCGCATGCTTAATTATGCGTTTACCTAATTTGCATATTGCTGACACATGCAAATTAGGCAAAGGCATTGATTACCATGCAAATGGATGATTTTTTAAGAAAAAATGTAAGTTTGCGTGAATGGTTAAAGGGCTTAAACTGAAGCAAATTGTCTGAAATTTTGTACAGTAATTAAACACCCAACAAACTTTCCATCTGTTAACTTAAAATATGATTAAAGCTTTTAAATTTCGTGCGCAAGCCATTTTTAGTTTGTTGGAAAAGACACACACCCCTGGTTCACAAAATTTGAGTTCGAGAATTGGATACTAATAGCTGTTTTGCGAATTTAAGAGCAAATTTCAAATCTGTGCAGTTTTTTTTTTATACACCCTGTATACATGCATGAGAACTTGTACCGGACTCTGTAGCTCAGTTGGTTAGAGCGTTGCACTGGAATTGCACGACCGCAGGTTCGTTTCGTATGGTTACATTTTTCGCAACTGCTCCTGGTTCTGTAAATTGTATTAGTCCTTCCGCTCGAAATTACCATGAAGATGATCTGTGTTTCATTGTAGGCATTGAAACAAGAGAACTTTCATACTCAGTTGGATAACGCGATATCAGATTATCTTAGCAGAAACAGCGAAATTATTGAAGAAGAAAAAGTGAGTCAAGTTACTCTTCACACATTGTTATATTATATATATAGACATGGCCTCCCGATGACCATTTTTGGTCGCATTATTTTGTGTTTTGTCTTGTTTTTTTCTTGCCTTGTCTTGTCTTGTCTTGTCTTGTCTTGCCTTGTCTTGTCTTGTCTTGTCTTGTCTTGTCTTGCCTTGCCTTGCCTTGTCTTGTCTTGTCTTGTCTTGTCTTGCCTTGCCTTGCCTTGTCTTGTCTTGTCTTGTCTTTGTTTTGTGTCTTTCATTCATTCTTTCTCTCTCCATTTTCTGGGACCACCCGTGATCTGGATCCATTTTCCATCCCTGATTTCAAGCCAATCATTATTTGAATTATGCTGAATTTTGGACATCTTAAACTTGGAAGAACATAACGTCAAGTATGTTTATGCAAAGCTTTCAATCCGCAGACACCTCCTTTATATTAGCGGCAACATTTGGGAGGTCGCAAAGGTGCCCGTTTAATACAGGTTCATCTGTACTTCATTGAGTGCTTGATGCAATGCACTGTCACAGCTCGAAATTGACAGATAAAGTAGTCAGTATACTGAACAGTCCACTATCGCCCTAAAAATACTGAATTGGGATATCATCTAATGTACCGACATGCGTAACTCTCATACTTTTTCACAAAATATCCTGTATAAACGAATCCTCTCTAATACAGACATTTCCCGTGTCTCTGTAGTTTTCACTTGAATTCTATCTCCATGAAATATCGTATTACAATTACATTCTACCTGTATTTAAGCCTGGTTCACACTAGCAATTCTGTCGGCGATTTTTCTCCTCCTGGCAAATGTGATCGAGTGAATGACATGCAAAAGACTTTTGTGTGTGAGTTCACTCATTTGCTTACGTCAGAAACACAAAATCGCCGGCAAAATTGCTAGTGTGAACCTGGCTTTACTAGTGTGAACCAGGAACGTAGCGAAGCATCTGAAGGCTTTTACCTGAAATTTGAATTTCAATGTTAAAAATTTACCTGAAGTGTAATAATCACAATAAAGCTTTTTGTGATTGATTTGCATTGTCATACTAAAATTGTTTACATTTTTGAAGCTTTAGGACTGCATTTCTGGCGTTTTCTAAAGCAAATACGCAAACAAATTGGATGTAAATTGACTGTATTTTACAATAATGGTTATCATTTCACAAAAATAGTTACTTTATTGCGCAAATTTTACCTGAAAATGTCGAAATTTTAATGACTTTTGCTTGAGTTTCACAGTTGGACCAGCGACCGGGGAAGGTGGGGGTTACACACCCACACGCCCGGTCACTACGTCCCTGAGTGCATCGTATAGATGTTCGTGGGAGAAAATCTAACAGATACTTACAATCCTTTGATATACACTTTGCAAGTTTTTGCATAACACAGGCATAACTTTTGCTTTGCTTTCTAACAGATATATCTCCCAGAATTGTTGAAGTGGTACAAGAATGATTTCCTGTCTACTTTATCAGATCTGTCTGCTGAAACAAATAACTTCAATGGCGGTGAAAACTGGGTGGAACTATTACTTGGAATATCTCCTTATCTTCGCGGCGAACACTTCAAGAATTTTGATGACATTGCTACTCAGTTAAATGTTGCATTCACCCCGCATTGCTGGGAATTTGGTTTTCGATTTCCAACCACTGAAACGACGATACAACGGGAAACGTCGTCTAAATCTGATATTCCTAATGCACCAAAATATACTCTAACCCAGGCCCTTTCAAGTTACCTGATAGCGCGGTCACCACTTGTTGCCTCATTGGCTAATCTCAGTTGTTCCCAGGACTCTAACCTCGCGCCTCAAGGCAGTCAGAAAGAAGCGGAATTTTCTTTACTCACAACCAGTCTTGCAAACCCTGGTACACGAAGTTTAGAAGTCACTTCACCTTTTGAATTCGCCATGAATCAGGCTGTCAAGTTCCCAGTACTTCAACGTCACATCACATCAGCGTTTCTTTCTGTGTCTAAGTTCCTGTATCTAGATGGCCTTGGACTGACAAAATCCCCCCAGTCCACTTCCGTTTCTGCAGAGCTCGCCACTCGAAATCAGTCGCGATTGTTTCTTCTCGACGAGCAAAGTCAAGAAGTTTCCGAGATGTTTTTAAGAGCGGTGAACTACGCTTGGTGTAAAGCAGACTGGGAACTACTCTTAGAGATATTTAATTCAGCATGTCTTAATCAACATGGCGCTTTACATGGACCTGAGGACTTTGTGCTCGAAATGGCGTTCATGAGCAGACTGGAAACAAGTCCAGATGACGACCTTGCAGCCCAATCCTTTTCAATTCTACATAATTTCAACATCCCGGCACCTAATTTTAATCTGAATTGGAGAAGCAAGAAATGGTTGTTGTTGTACCGTATTAAGGATGATTGTGCTCGCGCTAAGATCGTACTGCAATGTTTACATAACTGGTGTGATATTGAAGTATGCCTGAAATTACTCACGTTTTGTCTATCAAAACCACCAGATGACAAAGAGTTATTGGCAAGTCTTGAGAAGAAGACTAAACAACTACGTCTTTGTAAAAAGGTAAGAACTATACGTACGTTAAATGCAGAATAACAGCAGTCTACATTATACACGCATAGCCTTTTTCTTCACGTTTTTCGTTTAACTCCATTTGTTCTTACATAATGTTAAAAAATTATATCCATTTTCGAAAGGAGAAAGTCAAGGCTGTTCTTATTCACTGGTACATTTCAGTACTTATGCAAATGATGTACACATAAAACGCACAAGTTGTAACAAACCTGCAGCGGACTTTAACATTGCTGTTGGCCTGCTCCAACAACTTGAAACCGGCGTTTCTCTTGCTTTTGCCATAGTCTTTCGCTCTGCATCTCAACCTAGCAACAACCAATAAAATCTGGTTTCTTCTTGTTCAAATCCAATCAGCTTTGTGTTTAAAAACTTTTGTCGTTAACAAAGACGTTACAACTTGTTGGCAAATTTAGTACAGACTTGTAAACGCAGCTTCGCTACAACCTTGCTGAAACGGTCTTGTTACAACTTGACGACCGCAACAACTTGTCAACAAGTTGTTTCAACAAGCATGATATGACTTGTCAACAAGCTTGCTACAAGTTGATAAAATAACAAACTTGTTACAACTTGTCAAGAAGCTTGCTACGCTTGCTGCACAGATGAAACAGACTGTTGTGGTTTTTTTGAGGTAAAACGAAAAACTATATTAGTCCACCTATAATATTGAATTACTTTTTTTACTATATTCTTTAGATCAGACATTGTCATTCAAGTCAAGGATTTAGTGGAATAAAAATAAAATATGAAACATGGAAAGATGTTGTTGAGCACAGTGTTCGTAATCCTGAGCTCGTCTTGCAAGCACTACAAGATCGTGAACGTTTTGATTTGGTTCGAGAATGGATTGATGTCTATGGCTATCCCTCCCAATTACGTGAGGTAGGCAGGGTTAATATTCTCTAAAGGTCTTAGCCTGAGTATCAGCCAATTTTCCCTGGATGGAAGGGAATATAGGGCCTGACACAAATCACTATCTGGTCGCATCAGCCTAGACCTAGGCGTTCTATTTTTATTTATATTTTTTAATATTCAGCGCTTTTTCACATGAAAAGACTGGGACTAGGTGATTTGGGGGCGGGGCGGAGGAAGGACACAAGCCTGACGCAAGCGAAAAAATAGAAGGCCTAGTGGATTTCCCAACAACAAGGCCAAAACTGCCCTGAAACTGCCCTGATTGCGAAATGCCCAATTGTTGCGTTCTCAAACAGAATTATTTGCAACTTAACAGCGAATTTAAACCGATACAGGTAAAATAAACTCATTTATAGTATAAACTTACTATTTTTAGTTGTATACACGTCTAGAAAATCGGGGTTTTTATCATAAAGTTTGAAGCAACACTATTTATATATGTTGACAAGGTGTAGCGAAACGGCACAAAATAATAATTCTTTTATTCGCAAGACAATCTACTGTTTTGCTTTGAATAACTATATTTGCGAATTGGGAATGAGGATTTTGAAATTAGTGTTCAAATATTACAGATATACCATTTGTAAACAATGTACGTTTTTATATACAGTACTGTACGGGCTAATAATATATGTATCCGTTTTATTTTGTATATTTTACAAACACAAGACTGCTTCTTGCCAAAATTGAGAAAATATATATTAATGTAGTTGTGTATAAGACAAAATTTCATGAAAGATTCTACTTTTGGTATATATTTTGACTCATTTTGTGCTTTCGCTACACCTTCTCAACATATTAAATATTAAATAGTGTTGCTTCGAACTTTATGATAAAAAACCCGATTTTCTAGACGTGTGTACAAATAAAAAAAGTTTATACTATAAATGAGTTTATTTTACCTGTATCGGTTTAAATTCGCCGTTAAGTTGCAAATAATTCTGTTCGAGAACGCAATAATTGGGCATTTCGCAACCAGGGCAGTTTCAGGCCATGCCCGTTCGCAGGTTAAGGGTGGGCATAGCTCTGGAGAAATCGAATTGATGCAGGCCTGTGATTGGCTAACGGCAGACAGTACGTTGGATTTCCAACGTGAGTTCTACGCATGCTTGGCAATTGTTGGAAAGTATAAACAAAGTATTTGGATTTTCTCGTCGAAAATTTGCTACTTTTTTACACTGAAATCGATTGAAAACAACTAGAAATTCTGGAGGGAATATGTGCGAAAGCTTCGGATTGATAGGGATACAACTACCTGAAAAATACAAGGAGAACTTCGACGTTTCGAGCGAAGGCGCTTCGACTTGTGCTGTTAGTGTTTGTATACATCGTACTTGCCTTTTATATACTGTCATACCTAACACTACGTATACCATAAATTCTGACAGGAGAGTTAAATGTAAATTTTAAAGCATAAAAATATATAATACTTATTGAGGAGATTATATTTATCAGCAAAGGTCAAGTACGACGTATACACAGGGCCCGCGGAGCGTATTAGAGAGTGGGGGGGCTAAATCATCAATAAAACCCCCAAGGAAAATGTTCAATTTTCTATTACCTTAAACGCTATTTCCTGCATTTTTGGAGGAACTTTAGCAAAAAATCTCCAAGACCATCGTCATAAAAAGTAACAAAATTTAGACCTTTTACAAACTTCTAAGCAATCCTTTTACTAGACTACTTTATAAACTAAGAGTATCTTAACAATTTAATTAATTTAGAAAGTTTCATTTAGATTTCTATTTTAATAATTTTGGCTGTCAAAAAAAGTGGGGGGGGGGGCTAAAGCCCCCCCAGCCCCCCCGTCTCCGCGGTCCCTGATACAAACACTATTAACAGCACAAATCGAAGCGCCTTCGCTCGAAACGTCGAAGTTCTCCTTGTATTTTCAGGCAGCTGTATCCCTATCAATCCGAAGCTTTCGTACATATTTCCCCCAGAATTTTTAGTTGTTTTCAATTCGATTTTAGGGTAAAATGTATCAAATTTTCGACGTGAAATTCTAAATACTTTATTTATATTTTGCAACATTGCCGAGCATGCGTAGAACTCACGTTGGAAATTCAACGTGAACAATTCGATTTCTCCAGAGCTATGCCCACCCTTAACCTGCGAACGGGCATGCTCGGGGAACGAGATTGGGCAGTTTTGGCCTTGTTGTTGGGAAATCCACTAGGCCTTCTAGGCTTGCTTCCTCCGCCCCGCCCCCAAATCACCTAGTCCCAGTCTTTTCATGTGAAAAAGCGCTCAATATTAAAAAAAATATAAATAAGACTAGAAGGCCTAGGTCTAGGCTGTGGTCGCATGTAAAAAGCCAAATCCTGCTTTTCACCTGATTCCTCCATTAGATAAAGAAATTTTATCTGTCTTTCTCATTGGTTAAGTACTATATCAGATATAAAGATACGAGGCGAAGCCGACTATAACTTTAGGTCTGACAAAACACGCACTGCGAATGTTTCAAAAACGATCGATCTGCTACGTTCATTGACGAAGTAATTTTCAAAAAATACGTTGTGTAATTCGAGAAAATCAAAGTTAAAGTGTATGTAAATCAAGGGAAATCTCTATCACATATAAAGATACGACACGCTTATGAGTTTTCTTTGTGTTTTCCTCTTGAATTATTATCATTAATGAAGTACTTTTTGAAGTAGTTTTTAAAGCACGCGTAGGACTGTTTTATCATATTCAAAATGCGAGTCGCAGCAGGAGCATTTTAGATATGATAAACACGATTACAGGTGCATGCACTAAATGACTTAAAACACGACTAGTATTTCATTAGTATTCTTTATATAAGGAATGCTAATTAAGGCGGGCCTGGGAATCGTGTCACAGCCCATGATTTATTCTGCCCAAAAAAAAACATGACGCTGTCCTTTTATTTCGTTAGTTATTTCATAAGTAACATTTAAACATTTCCGTTGACATACGTGCACGGAATAATGGAGTGCTCATTATTTATGGCGGGGGGTGGCATCGAAGATAAAAGGATTGAGTGAACAAAATGCTGAGTTTGTAAAAGGTTGGATAAATGAAAAACAAAACAACTCAAGAGTCGGGTAATAAAAATGTATTGTCATTTCCAAGACTAAAAACCAATGTTAACAGTCGTGTTAATACTGACGGTATGTAATCGATCAGAGTCACTGTCTTGATCATTTTTAGTGCGAAGTTGCTTTGCACTGTTGTTATGAGGTTAAATTCAATTCAGTGACCGATCAATGGATCGATGGATCGATGGATGGATCGAGTAAACAATCCGGGGGGAGCTTGCAATTGATTTTTTATCACGTTTTCTAGAGCTTCGCGACTTTCGGCCAACTAATCGTTCATAACTGTTTGTAGATTATAACAATCTATAGTTATATTCATGATGGTACATGTTCTTACTTATTTATCCGACATTTAGAGAAGTTATAACCAAATTACTGTTGCATTTCAAGCACTTGTTATTATATGATATGCCCCCCCCCCCCTGCAACATAAATACACGTGCATAATACACGTGCCCTCAAATGTTATCATTTTACAATGGCGGACATGGACGAGCGGTGACTATTGAGCGGCGGTGTGAAATGCTGAAATCGTGTAGACTAGAGTGTATTACATCCGAGGTTGATAGTATTATAGCACAGTGGTTTATCTATGAAAGATACGGAACGATGTATATATGAATAAGTGCCAGTGTGTAGTTTTGATATAAAATTATCTATCTATCTTATTCTTGTATTATTACATCACGATATAACCCGCGGAAAGGAGGGCCGGGACCGCTCGACCGCTATATCAGCTAGATTATTCTTGTTTTATTATATCGCGATAGAGTTAGGTTTATATGGCCCAATAAATAGTAAATAATAAACCTAGCATTATTTTGTTAATAATTTTGAGCGATTTGTCAACAATACAATTTCGCTTGTTAAAACTGCACATTAAAACCTTCAAAATATAATATTTTGCGCTCAAACTACTAACAAAATAAAGAGAAAAGTGAGACGAATCCACTGGTATACGGCCGAAAAAGAGAAAACTAACAATACGAAAGTCATCAAGGTCAAATGTATTGCATTTTTATTTAATTAATAGTTTAATAATTTTGAGCGATTTGTGAACAATACAATTTCGCTTGTCTTTCAAAGGCCATAAATCGCTAGAATACTGTTGTTTAGTAATACATTTGACGTCTGTGAGTATAATTTCTTACACTGAATCGAACGGTGGTATTTTTGTCCTTATTGGGCGCATAAAACCAAAGATAAGGCACAGCAAAAAGTCAATCGTGAGAGTCCGAGATTAATTCGAAAGAAAACATTCCTCGAAAAAAGGAATTCGGAAAACGTGCAGGATTATTTTGAGCGGCTTGTCTTTAAAAGGCCATAAATCGCAAGAATAGAAATCAATTTTGAAATCAATTTTCCATCCGTAAATACAAGTTTTCACGCTGATTCGAACGGTAGTATTTTTGTCTTTGTTTGACGCATAAAACCAGAGATAAAGCCTAGCAAGTAGTCGATCTTGAGAGTACAAGATTAATAACAATTAATAAATTCCGAGCACGTGCAAGGAATTTTTAGTAGGCGACTAAGGAAACGTATTGATGCGAACACACTATAAAGATCAGGGGCCGGTTGTATAAAACTCTTAATCACTTTTTAATCACTATTTTGTAGTTAAATAGTGATTAACTCTCAAATACGCGCTTCTTATTGGATGACATTTCCATTTAACTATGATTAACTTTAATCACTTTTTTATACAACCGGCCCCTGGACTAAAGCCACCATTCAAGGAATTAAGCCGTGGAAAATTATCCATGCGAAAACAACAAAATTTACTGTCGTGGCTTGTAATATATAAAAACAAACGCCAAACAACTTCCTTATAGATGCATCAATCCTATCAGTTCATACATTAATCATTATGCGAATCAGCGTAAATCTTAATTATCATTTGTCATATCAACTTTGCACTATCCTTGGGATCTCTGAGTTCCGATTTGTCAGGAGGCTAATGGTGTCTCCAAAGAAAGTACATGCATGTGCAGACAACATAATACGTTAGACCGCAGAAAATTGCACAATTAAACTCATATCACAGAAGTGGTAAAGACACGTGTGACAACTGAACGGTATCCTGTTGTAACGTTTTTGACCAGACGTGGGTATTTATTTTGAAATTGATATTTGAGGTTGGTTAAAAAATAATTTTGACTATCTAATGGTTGGATCAGCAAAATTTTACCAGGAAAAATATTTCTCTTCGGTGCCACCCATCGCCATAAATAACGACCGGTCCCTAACGTTTAACTGGATTGCGAGGGTCGCAATTTCAAACAACGTCAAATTTTCAGAATTTCTAAGTAAACAGAATATTTCTGTGCAGATGATCTGCTCTCGGTTTAATTCGCCATTCACCATTAATGTTCACGTACTGCGCATGCTGTTATATTCATTTGTATATTTCTCTGTCATAGCAAACTTCTTTGTCATTTCTCCCCCTTAGAGAATTCACGAAGATTATCTGAGATATTTATTGACGAAAACTCCCATGGACGTCACGGAAGTGTACATGTATCTAGAAGAAATCGAAGATCCTGTAAAAACCTTGGAAATCTGTGAACGACTATTATCAAAACAAATGCCAATTCCAAATACCCTGTTCATTATACACTTCATGATAACAGATCTTGATGCACATGTGAAGCCCGCTAGGAAACATGCACTTCTCCGTCAGAGACTCGGTACTAATGCCGTGCTGTGTATCCCAGAAAGCAACCGACGTCCCTATGAGTCCCTAACATCTCAACCTTTGTTGTTGTTGGAGCAGCTCTTGATTGACATGAAGGTGGAATGGGCTGGAAAAGTGTTTGAAGATTTACAGAGTGAATTAAGAACAAATAGGAATTATGATGAGTGGTTAAGAAAGGAGATTTCGGTCGAAGCATTTGATGAGCTACTCGTGTGGTACGCTACCAAGGCCTTGGAATTTGATGTGGTGACTTATGAAGACCATGGTAGGTATAAATCTGTTTTACACCACGAAAGTAATTCTGGTACACGTTGGCTTAACTCGAACTAGGATTAGTTGGGTTCAGACTATAACCCGGTGTCCAATTCAGCTTGGCACACTTAAAGAAACTAACTCTGGTTAGACTCGACCCAAGGCGAACCCATTAGTTTCTTGATCTTTGTGTAAAACGGAGCCATCTAGTGTTTAATATATGTTTTAGTTTGTGAAAGACGGAAAGCTTTCGATTCGTCAGCGCGGATCTTCATCAGTGCTAATAATATATAACTTGTTACTAAAACTGTTATGATCTATAAGTTAATTCAACGGTCACATCAGCCATCACGCCATTTCATTTCAGACGAGATTATGTAGTTCTAATGAACACGTGTGCATTCAAAACAAGACAAATTTGTTTTAGTCATTGAAGAGAGCACGCCACGTACTATCTTTGACTGTCCCTTTTGATAGTATAGCATTGTGCTTTTCAATTCCAATTTCAATTGACTCTCTCATTTTGCGAGAAAAGGTATGAATAGTAATTGCCAAAATGGTTGCTTCGTCCCATTTTAAGCGATGGTCATACCTGTAAGTCCTTGCTAGTACGTTTAGTATATGTTTATAATTCAATGATCTGTGACGGTTATTTTTACTAAGAAATTCTTATATCTATTTTTGCATGTTCCATTACCTGATATAACTACTCATACTTTATTATTGTTCCATAAAGATGAATTGGTACATGAGTCCCATAACGACAAGACAAAATCTTTGGACACTCGGCAGATAAAGACTACAACTCCTATCAAGGGCCATCAAAGACATGCGAGTACTGGTAGGGCAGTGTTTATCATTGTAATGAACTCGGTCATACAAATTACGTACACATACAAATTACATACACATAATTTCATTACATACACTCAGTTGACAGAGCATTGGGCTAGTATTCCAAAGGTCGTAGGTTCGATTCCCAACATGACCAGGCATATTTTTCAAGCTTGCCCGGTGTGGATATACACTCTGAGTAACACCACAAACATCATTTTCACCTGAGTACATAACACCAACACAGAAAAAAATTATGTTCGAGTTATTCCCGGAAAATGTTGTGAATTTCATTTCACTGTACAACGTAAACAACCTCGCATTCTCATTGGTAGAGGACGTTTTACCTTTGCAACAATGAAGTTTGCCCCTATAGTAACACGTCAACTTTCATACAATAAACATCAAGTTTGGAACAATGAACACATGCTTTATTTATGCACGCCTCACGGTCAAATGCAATTGCCTGTATGTTGTGTAGCATCGCCTTTTTAGCGTGGATGAATTGGACGGAGTACCGTGGTAAAATTCGTAGTGGATTTCCCATTCTGATAACAAAAAGTCTGACACACGATACGGAAAAGTTGCAAACGATCTTCGTTTATCATTCAAGTTATTTCAAATAAGACAAAATGAATTTGTATTGCCATTAACTATCAAACTTCATAACCGCCTTGTTTTCATTTTTCTTCAGGAGCGACACGGTCATTTCGACGAAGTTCTACAAATGAGTCACAGCAGTCTGGGAGTTTTAAGATTCCTGAGAAAATACCAGCCGAGGGAGACTGGGAACCAGATTACAAACATAGTGTCTGTATGATATGCAAGGAAGTTGCTTTTAACATGGTATGCATCTCTTGTGAGGGTAGATTTACTTCCTCGGTTTATTTGTTTATTTTGCTTTCCGATTTTAAGGGAGCTTTAGATTTTTAGGGAGCTTTAGATTTGACCACGACTACGAGTACGAGATTCGTCAAGCGAAACGCATGCTGTATGCTTACGCCATCCCGTACTGACGCGAAAAAGTCGTAGCCGTCGCCCATCTGAGTACGAAATTGTGGAGAAATCTCGTAGTCCTCACGACGACTTTTCAAAAAAACAAAGAAAGTTGGCTTTTTTTTGTTTTCCAAAAATAATTTGTAGCCGATTTATATAGCGTTTATCCGGCGCAAATAATATATTAGTACTAAATATCTGGCCTGTTTTTAATGTTATGACTTATTTACACGTTTTGTAGGAGATTTTAGTCTGCAGGAGAAAGTTTTTCTCTCGTTATTCGTTTACTGCTATAAAAGCAACATTTGAATGGGAACGAAAACGACTACGGTAATTTCCTAGCACGCGATCAAATCTCGTACTCGTACCCGTAGTCAAATCTAAAGCTCCCTAATAACCACAGTGAAACACGAAATTTGACTGGTCAATTTGAATGCCTTTGGCTTTGCGCGAGCTTTTTAAAATGTCGGACAATGAAAGCATTTTAACGTGTGAAGTTAACAGTATAATATATTAAACGAGAGACAAGTTAACAAAAACTTTAATAAAGTTATAATAAAGTTAATCTTGAACTGTCTGGTCCAGTGTAGGTAGTGCCGATAACATTATCAGGCTTTTGTGGGTAGGGATGCAACTACCATGCAGAGCGAAGGCCCTTCGTCTGGAGTGACTAGCTGGGGTCGGGAAAATTACATGAGCTTTTATACTAGGAATATAAAAGCTCACGTGACAAAAAAATTAAACCAATCAGAAGGATTTAGTCAAAACAAAGTATAAACAAAAAATGTAAATTACAGCTTGCGCTGCCAATTTAATGTAAAAGGTAGTTTAGGAACCATGCATCCCAATGGTTCCTAAACTATCTTTTTGCAAAGTGCTTAAAATGTGTTGTATTTTTTCAGTTCGTACGTCGCCACCATTGTCGTCGTTGTGGCAGAGTTGTGTGTGATACATGTTCTCCGTTCAAGCGAATTTTATCAAATTCTAGTCGTACACCTGTTCGTGTTTGTAAAGATTGTGATAAAGCCATGTTTGAACAGAGGTGAGCTGAAAGTTGTCATATCGAGGCATCCATTTCGTACATACGTATACGCTAAAGCCATGTTTACATTGTATCGTATCACTTTGCGTCCGACGCAAAAACCATACCGGATAGGGCTTCTGTTTACATATGAAATGTTGTTATCGTCTCAATTTCTGCAACGAACCGGTGGTGTGGCGGTTCGCTTTTCCAAGTGGTGCGGGTTGGGTTTTTCGAACGCGCTCACTGTAATGTAAACACCGATCGGAGCAATTTTCTGTCCAATTTGTGATTCAAGATGGCGTCTAGCAAACAAAAACTTGCTATTCTAACCTTATTTACGGGTATAGCTTGCTCACTCTTTCAAATCACGTCTACAATATTTTTGCTTTTGGTAAATATGTATCAGAAAAGACGAAGGCATATAAGGGCAGGGGCGGAAGCTGTTTACACTTGGGCCGTAACGTTTCGCGAACGAAGCAAAAACCTATCCGGCACAGTGTAAACGTAGCCTAAATTTCGGGAATGTTTTATACCCCTCCCCCCTTTGTATGCTATTATATGCTTTTTGGCACCCCCTCCTTAGTCTGCTCACAGACGCTTGTATATTATATATGACAAATCCTCCCCTGTACGTGGAAGTTCTGTTCATACTTTTCAGGTATAAAGTAAATGAGCGTATCTCCGAACAAATTACATTCACGCGATGACGTCATCTCCCAAATGGGTGGCGATCACCCACAATGACTGTAGACACCAGACTGGGATAGCGGAATGAAGTACCAAAACGTTCTGATATTATGCCTACAGAAATCATGTTTTCATAAAAACATTGCATTCCATAAAAACCTGTTTTCTGATATTAAATTTCTTATATGGTAAAGTTTCGGAAAGATAATGAAAACTGTCCGACGATATGAAGATATATAGTACTTTACAAATGAGTTTATTAATAATTTAGTTACAGAAAAAAAGAAGCTGACACTATCATTTATTCTGGTTCTCTACCAACGTATATGAGTAGGAGCTGGGAAGGCAGAGGTAAATATCCCGATATAACAGTTGTAAATGAGTCACATTGGATAGCAGATCATTCCACCAACCTCGTCAAATATCCATGCTAGGCACAACTAATAGTTTTCGAGCTAATTAACTTCGTTTTCATTTCGTGGAATGTATCGCGAGCACTTCATTGTCGCTGATAGAATGTGCATTGTGTAAGCCGCTCTTTATTCAACATCGCGTACAGTAAGACCAAAATAAAACCAGACTTTAAGCCTTCATGTCTTCTGTATCAACGATATCCGAAAGCATCGTAGCGTTCTCTTTTGTCGCTATTATTTACTCTGAACTAGCGCTCCCAAAACAAAGAAATAGGCTACCCTACGTTTCGAAAGGACACGTTTGCAATGGCAACGTGGAAAACGTCTATAATTGACTAGGCTACAGACGCTGTATAGTATTACATGCATGTATACAGTACATATATTTAAAGTTTTGTTGGTAAAAGTTTTATGTATTTATCGACTTCGCAACTGCTCCTGGTTATAGCACTAAATAAATGTATAAAAAATTACCCTCGTAATTTCCATGTACAAAATCCGTCAAGTAATATTTCAAATTTGACTATGAGGACTGGACTAGATTTCAAGTCCCCGCAATTTGATCTAGTCCGAGGCGAAACCGAGGTCTAGTCCAGTCCGAATTGGAAGATTTGAAATGACATCTCCTACGAATAAATCGCCACTTAAAGTGATTTGAATTAATTTTGATCATAGTTAATAGAATAGATGGTTTGTAAACTCATTAGAATAACAAAATAACTCATTATCTATGCTCGTCAACGTTTATTCATAAATCTGGTCCTTCACCGTCACGCGCATGTGTATTGTATTTTACCAAATCCACCAATAGCAATGTTTTAGGAAAGTTACCTATCCATGAATTGAACAATAGGGTAAATTGGAAATTGCTATTGGTGGATTTGGTAAAAATACAATACACACGTGACGGTGAAGGACCAGACATAGATAATGAGTTATATTGTTATTCTAACAAGTTTCCAAACCATCTATTTTATTAGCTATGTTTTGATCCAGTCTTAGGCCTGAATTAGTTTTGATCCAATCCTATATATGGATCAATATACTTCACCAGGTATACAGTATTATCATGTGAACAAAATAAAGCAATATGGTTGGCAAATTTACTCATGAATTAGTAATGAGTTTGAGATCATTAGTTGTATCGATTGTAGTTATGCGTTTGTTCGGTCTTCGGTTTTTGTTCTCTTCTATTTGAAATTGTCAGCCTATCCTGGATTCACATCTGAAGTCCCTAAATAGAATATTTCACTATATATTTATTAATGAATGGCTTATATTCCATTAATTTTTTTCTGGAAATTTCATGTTTAGCCAGCGCCGAATTCCGAGAAAGACTGGACCCAGCGGTGCCGAAATCAGAAGACGAGCTCAATTTTGACGTTCACCAAGGCTGGAGGTTGAATTTCGATGAAGAATGTAATAAAGTGATTCGAGACGATTTTCTCTATGAACAAGTGAGTAATATATGGTAGTTTTGTAATATACCTCTAAACTCAGGTTGCTCAGCTAATTTTCAAACTTTTAGGTTTTACACTTGGCTCAGTAAAACGTTGATTTCAAAATTTAGTTATTTTTTAAATATTCAAGGATACAAAGTCTTCCTTGAGAATATAACCGCAAAGTCATATCCCACAGAAGTATAAAAGTTTTGAAGCTAGGATTCGCGAGGGATTTCGCCATGTTTGTTGACATATGCCTGCGCTCGCCGACAATAAATACGCAGCTCAAAATGTCCGGTATAATTTACGCTTCCGCTTTCAAAAAATGCGCCGGATAATCGCTACTGCTACACCAAATATTTCTACAAATTATTTTTGCAGAAAGGAATAAAAATTTTCTTGTTTTTTAAAAAGTCGTCGTGAGGACTACGAGATTTCTCCAATATTTCGTACTCAGATGGGCGACGGCTACGACTTTTTCCCGTTAGTACGGGATTGGCGTAAGCATACAACGTGCGTTTCGCGCAATAATGGCGAATCTCGTACTCGTGCTCGTAGTTGCTTCTAAAGCTCTCTGGTATGGTTTCGAGTACAACTACCTGAAAAATACCTGGGGCCGGTTGTATAAAAAAGTGATTAAAGTTAACTATAGTTAGTGGAAACCTCATCCAATAAGAAGCGCGTATTTGAGAGTTAATCACTATTTAACTACAATCACTATTTAACTACAAAATAGTGATTAAAAAAGTGATTAAGAGTTTTATACAACCGGCCCCTGTAAATTTAATCCCTATTAATTCGCAGTTTCTTGACAATTAACAACAGTATAGTTAACAATTATTCACCGAAGTGAAGGTGAATAGTGCGATGATGTTCACCAAAACGCGAAGCGTTGAGGTGAATATCCTTGCGTTATTCACCGTTACTGATGTGAATAATTTAGCATTTACCACAACAGAACAAAAATTACCAAAAAAACGGAATTTGTTTTTGTATTTCAGCTCCTGTAATACAGTAGTTGTAAACAAAACAATATTTACACGCTTTTAGTAATTTTATTTATTAGAAATAACTTTAAAGAATTCCTGTACACACTGTTAAACAAAACTTTGTGACTTTCTTTGTGTTTGGCAAAACGGCAGCTTCGTTCAGTACAAATTAGATTTGCTCATCTGTAAGTAACCGGAACGAAACTGGAAGCCATTTTGGTTTTTTTCCGGAGGTGAATGGTGCAAGGATATTCGGAACTGATTAACCAATCAAATTGCGTGAAAAGCACCATTCATCTCCTGAGTATATACTAATACAATTTATATTCAACACAAAGCGAATGTTGTGGTTTAATAAAGAAACTACAGTGTACATGTTTCTCTATTGTGTTTGTCGGGCTTATTCATAATTATATGGCTTTAGCACTGTCTTGAAAACTATGAAAGTCAAATGTCACTTGTTACATTTATGGTTTAAAGTGAAAATCTCGTTTCAAGTTGCTAATAGTAATTGACGACAGCAGTTGCGTAAGCTCGAGGTTCGTCCATTGGCGCCATATCTGACCACGTGTAAGTTTGAAAGTCGTAACATTCCACTGAGCTGATCCTTGAACTTCGCTCATCTGCCCCGCCCATCACTATCAGTTTATTGCCGACATCAACCGCTGTGCAATACGCTCGCTTCTTCTGCATCTTGGGCAAGATATGATGACGTTGTGTGACGATGTCATACATTACGACAGAATCAAGATAATTGCCTTTTCTATCTAAACCACCGATCACAAGAACTTTGTTTTGCCAGCTTGCTGTGGCCATGCCAGAAACAGCGTAAGGAAGTCGCTTGAGCTGTTTACATTCTTTCTTCGCTGGATCATATTCAATAACAGTATCTGTGGCAGTATTTGCGTACTGTTTACAGCCACCAACAATATAGACCTTATCATTGACTACCGTCGCACCATGATAACACTTGGGCTCTGGTAGCTTGCACACCAACTCTGGTTTATAGGGAGGAGTCAATGGAATTACATGTATTGTGCTTAGGGCCAAGTCTTGGGAGTCAGTCAGACCGCCAATGACGCAAAGATCGTTTTGACAAAGTACAGTTGTATGACCCCGACAAACAAATGGTAATCGGACTTGTGATTCAGTCCACTGAGCATTATGCTGAGACAGATCGAGTTGTTTAACAATGTCGGTTGAATGTCCGACACTCCCCCCTGCAATATGCATGTGGTTCTCATTCAGAACAGAACTCGCGCCTTCACATTCATAAGTTGCTGCCAAGCATCGCCATTTTCCACTTGCCACGTTTAACACTATCGTAGATTTGACACCCTCCCCACCGGCCACAACGATTTCTGCTCGGGGCTCGAGAGTGCTGTTTCCACTTGATTGTATCAAAGTTGCTTCGATTCTGGTAACAATGCTCGTTAGCTGTTGTATTTCGGTAACAACTTCGTCCTGAACATACGAACGAAATTTAGCCAATTCACTTTTCAACTCGCTGATTTCCGTTCTTGGACACGAGTGCTCTGAAGAGGACATGCATGGCATTGACTTGCTGCAGTAGTCACAGTTGATATTTTGGCAATCACATACTTGACGTTCATCACATCGGCTTATATCGTTAGCACATTCATCGTTTGAATATGACATTGGACTGAATTCAGACCTCTCTCCGTCTGCTGCGAGACAGCCTAGTTTGACCACCTTCGAGAAAACGCGTTGTTTATGTTCACACGAAGTATCCAATTCTGATAGTGTGTTGAGGAGAGAAGGCTGAACATTGCCCAGCGTCTCAACTGTAAGCGGGTCTTCACACCTTGGACATTTTTGTGAATTTCGTAGATATGTTGTGATGCAATGTCTACAAAAATGATGATCGTTTGTTCGACATTGTACTGGATCACGTAAAATACAAAGGCAAATCAGGCAATGTAGTTGATCATCAACTGGGCCTTCAAATCTTCTGCCTTCACATCCTTGTGCCATCTTTTACATCAGCTGAATTTTTCTTTATTATTTTCATAGCTTTAGTAAAATGTTTCAACTGCTTTTGCCATGTCCAGGCTACTGATGCCAAGGTATTTAAAGAATTTAATGATTTTAGCATTTTCGTATACAAAGAGACCTGGCTTCCCGTAGTGCTTCCGTTTTATTTTCGTTTATTGCAATTAAGTTACATAATATTATAAGATAAATACAATATCAGCGTCGTTTATACATGCGAAAGTATGCCGCTTCTTCGATATGTCCCGAACGTCTTGTATAACGCTTATAAATGACAATTTGTTTGACAGCTGCGACTAAAAAACGAGCTGAAAGCTAGTTTCTCGTATTTCACGTGTTTTTGGAAGTTTGTAGTTCGTAGCTTGTTTCAGCCGCCGTTATATACGACCATACGTTTATGAAATTATGGCTTCATTTTGCTCGTATGTATCTCATTAACATTATTATACTGTAGTTACATCCCCCGCAACTAAATAAGCCAATTCAATGCACGGTTAAGCCACTTGAGGTAACAAAGACTCTTTGAGGAAAGGCTCTTGGCTGAGTTTGCTGTTATGTACTATACAGCTATTTCAATTAAGGTTGTTCCCGAAGCAAGCGGAAAAGTCAAAAGGATTGCTGAGAATCGCATAAAAATTAATGAACTCTCCGCTAATTTGCTCAAACCCATTCATTGTAATAATATTCAATGAATGGAAATCAAGTAAGCTGACAACACGACTGTTCGAAGAAAAGTTTCTCTAAAATTTTATGTTTTTGATGGCATCATTTGATAAATTTACGTCTTGAGTATGACTCTTATTAAATCTGGTCGGTAAATATTGCAAAGTGTATTCAGAAAAATTGAAATTTTCTACTTTACTTAAGCATGCATGAGACCTTCTGAACAAAGATTGCAGTTAGCTTCAGGCACTTGCAGGTAGCGCCATCCCAACATCTGACAGGCATGGGGAATTGTCTATTGCGAAAAATGCAACAATATAGACCATAGACGGATTTTCATATTTATTACTGGGGTGGTGCCAGAAATTTTAGGGGGGTGAGCCGTGAGCAGGTGACTGAAGCAAAACAAAGTGTCACCAAACCCCCAGTAAGGTCTATATTCTAGGGGTGGAGCACTAGAGCCGCGAAGGGGAGTCTAGAAAGCAGAAAACAAAGTATCCTAGGAAAAATGTGAAAAAAATCATGATTTCTAGCTCCGAAAAAAAGTTTTTTGAAGTTGTCAATTTGTCATATCAATGGATTTGGCATGTCCGATTTTCTGTTGAGACTTGAGAGAGTTGAAGACTTCAAATTAAATGAACCTGTAAGAGTGTAAACCAAATAGGCCAATACACAATATGCTTTTACTTTTATAAAGTCATTGACATTGTGTTGTTTGAATCCGAGTACAATTCATGATGAAACTCTGATGTAAATAATATTTGGAGCGTAAAGATTAAATCTAGGCAAGTCTATTTCCTAAAAGAATTAAAAACTAAAAATAGTGTTCGTAAATATTCCAAACGTTCCTTGCGTGCAAGCTATTCGCATGACAAGGCACTGCAAACTCTATTCAGGGAAGATAATAGAGTTTCAAAACTTCACAATTGCTCCAATAAACCAGTGAATGCAAGCGAGGAGCGATTAGTTTCAGAGTGTTGCACTGTATTTTTCTATCCGAGTGTACTTCTACGTTTATTTTGTATCATCAACACTCTTCACGTTGGCGTGGACTATTTAATTACTTATTTATTATGCCGAATATTGGGGGGGGGGGGGTTGAAATTTTTTTTGGAGGGGTGGACATTTTGTTTGGGGGGGTTATAGCTAATATTGGGGTGGTAGCACCCCCCCCCCCCCCCCAAGAAAATCCGTCTATGATATAGACCCTTTGATTCCAATCTTAACGGTTCCCATGTTTCTGTTGCAGGCTCCTAGTTCGTCTCTGTGTACCTCGATCCTGGCGTTGCATGGCAACAGTAAAACGTGTGCAAAACTTCTCCTTGAACTTTGCAACAAACTTTCACAGAAGCTGGGAATGAGTGAAGAAATTGATAACAATTTATTAATAAGGTATGGCTATACCAGTGTTTGGATTTCACGACAGTCAATCAAGACATATGTCATATAATGAACTTACATGATTAGGAAACTTCTAAAATTTCTTCTAGGTTTTTTGCGAACCTTGTCGAAGGTCACCCCAACCTCGTTCCCAAGGCTTTCGTATGAGGACGAGGCGAGGCACGAGAAAGCCCTGGTCTGGGCCGGTCATTTTTGCATTCTGATTGGCTAACGCCATATTGTCTAAAAATAAGTGAACTTGACAGTTGACAACAACAATTCAAAATTTGTATTTTTATGATTCTTGTGAGTACGAGAATGTTTTGCAAAATAATCTTTCGAAGCAAGACGTTTTCCCGACTGCATGATTTACTTTCGCCTTGGCCGGTTACAAAACTTAAAAGCAGTGTCGACGTGAGCCGTGATGTTTCCTGACAAAACAAGAAACGTCTACCATTATTTAAGCTGTAGTTTTCCTTGTACAGTATTTATAATGTAGTACAGATGTCTGATGAAATACTACGCGTATTGCATTGTGGTAATATTTTAATTTACAATATTCTGTACTGACAAATAAAAGCAACACAAACAATTAAATGAAACTACTAAATTAATTTAGGCTCCGTTAAATAGCTCTACGCCTAGGCCGACGTAGAGTAGTCTCTACAAGATTCGTCACGCCACCGAGTTTTACAGATTCAGAATACTCCGAATACTTGAAAATTGCGACTATACGATAAAATAAAACAAAGATTGTGAAGGGGATAAAATTTGTGGGCAAGCATTGCTCCTGAACGGCAACTAGTGTTGGTGTCCAGCGAAACAAGCGAATCCGTATATTCCTGTACAGCGTAAACAGGTTACGCAAGGTTTTATATTTGTGTTTATTTATATTGAACTAAGTCAGATCTATAAGAGCATATTTTAAACTAAATATTAAAGGCAATAGCCATATTGTTCAAAACGAGAGAAAGCAAATTTCGTGTGAATCACCACTTGCATGGAGACTCCTAGATGCAGCTTGGATGCAGCTTTGCTTGTGGTTGAAAATCTCCAGAAATATCGGTATACCCTAGAAAACATAGACGGGGTCTTCAGAGATTTCAGCTGATTCGTGCCAAACTTCGCTCTACACATAAATAATATCGATTGAGAAGTCTTTTGGCTGTTTTTTTTGTTTCGAAGACTTGTATAATTCATTAAAGAATATCTCGCCACTCCTTGACGTAGTCACGTGACTGGCCCAGACCAGGACTTCCTCGTGCCTCGCCTCGTCCTCATACGAAAGCCCTGGGAACGAGGTTGAGGTCACCCTTAAAAATTATTTTATTTTGATATTGTTTTACATGCATGCATGCATATCATGTATCTACTAAAGCGGCTGATGCTTAGCTTGTTTTGGATGCTTGTGCATAATTTTTAAACATGCACTTAAGCCTTGTTTCCATATCACGATCTTTCTCAACGGCCAGTTTATAATAGTTTATACCTGTAAACCACATATAAATCATAAGTATTCTCTAGTTATATTACTCTGCGTATTTCTGTTCTAAAATGTTGTATTTCGGTTGACGAGAAAGATCGTGACTCAATCTTGACGACTACATGGAAACCAGGCTTCACAACGAATTGTGATATTTTTAGAAAGGCTGGAGATCACGTGAGAGTCACGTGATTTTCAAAGCAGAGTCAGGCTCGTCTTGAACGTTGCATATTTTATGTATAATTGTTCTTTCACAATACGATAGTCGTCGATCGGCAAGATCTCCATCACAACACCAGCCCCTCGTAAAATTTCTGCGCGGTCCTTGATGCTGCACCATAATCGTAGAGCCGTAGGTTCAATCTCTGCCTGAGGACCTATGTGTTTATACACATCTACAATGAAATGAATGAGAATGAGGAAGTCGAATGAGATGTTTATTAAAAACTACCCATGCAAGGCACCTCTTCGAATATACGATAAAACAGTGTCAATAATTCTTACAAGTAACAAAACAAGTTTAGCAAAATACAAAACAATAGATTACAATACAAAAAACATAAGACAATCAATTAGAAGAAGTTATTAGAAGAGTAATAAAGAGCCGATAAAGCGAGCAGGCTGCCTCTTCTCTCTTATTGTAGATTTCTGCCTACATCGAACTCCCACGTTTCTCTTAACTATACTTTCCTATCTCATGCATGCATGCATGCATGCATGCACTTCATAGTTCGTACTTTCGTGTCTACTTTTCCCCCAATTCCTGCCTTCGTAGTATCTAACCTAGGGTATAATGTAGACTTCCCTACGTATTTATCTACCACCTTGACAAGCTATATTCGAGTCCGATAGCAAATCATTTTGCTTTTTAATTTTCTACCTAGTATTATCTGCCAACTGCTATATCACGCCAAGTTGAAGTTTACAAATTGCGGAGAGACTCACGGCGTGGAACTATGTGATACGTAAGTTTTATACTGTAACCGTGTCCGTGTCAATATCAGATAGTTTACGTTCACCCAGTTCTTTGTCCACATTCACATTCCTACAGGCTAGTGTCAAAAGATTGAAAAATATAGATACTGATGGATGTCAGTGGCGTTATTGAACACGTCAATGCATGTGATCCTCTTTCAGTCCTTGAGTTATTATTTCGATTTTCACACGGGGATTCACACACAAGACTTATTTTGGAAAGAAACTGTGAACTCTTTCCTGAAACCCATAGGTTTTTTCATGGCGAGAATTAGTGATGGACATTGTTATTACTTATTAGTTCGGGTATGAGGGTGTATACCAATATGACAGAATAACACGAAAATAAGCAAACTTTAATAAGGCAAAAACTACAACGACGACAAATGGAAAGGAATGTTAACATTGGAATTTTTTCAAATGTGATATGATGCTTCATGTTCCCTCATATTTAAAGTTTTCGAAAAGAATTGTCAATTAGTCTTTTTTGGCCCTATTGCATGTCGCCTGCTTTAGCGGCAATCTAATATATCATGTCGAGAACGATCGTAACATAATCATATGTTTCCTATAATATTTAGAAACTATGTATTTTCTATTTTTTGGAACAGATTAAAGCGAGTAGTCAACTACAAAATTAAACATGCTTGGAACATACATTTTCATATTTCCAGCATAACTCGTGTTGATCTCACATAAGGATTTTCATCAAGATAATGCTAAGTAAATCACTGACTCGCGATAGCAGAAAAGTAACCTCGACGTAGAAAAGGGCCGAATACAGTCCAGGACATTTTTTGACAAATTATCAATCAGCATTTGCTGCGTAGCTTTCCTTAAAGTTATTTAAACTCTGAAATGTCCAAACTACATTGCTGTCTTTATAATGCATGTATATGGGCTTTCCCATTCGCATTTTTGTGTCGTTCGTTCCCAGTCCCAGTAACCCAAATCCCATTTTCCCAGTCCAAAAATACGCAAACCCATGCATGTTCTCGTTTTACCCCTTCGCACAAACGCGTGTTTACTTAGAAATACGAGGGAGGATACTCAACAGTCACCCCGCGAACTCGAGTCGTATATGAGCTGATAGCCAACGAGATGAGTAGTACCGAGTGCCATATCAGTCATATACGACAAGAGTGAGTTTAACTGTTTTATTATATAGACAACTATACTGCTTTTACAGACTCTTCATGCAGTATGGCAATATTTTGACATTTAGTTTGGCAATTTACACAACTTAGCCTATGCCTGAGAAAACATTGCTGTTCGTATTTTCAATCAGTATTTTGAGCATTGCTAAAACTCAATTTTTATATATTTAATATTTTTAGACAAAACAAGTGCTTGTTGACTTTACTTCTATAAAGAGTTCTTTGTTTTTAAAGGGGCACTGTCATCAAAATGTTTATTTTCTTAAACGAAAATGCTCTTAAAACTGTATGGTAACTTGTTTTGAAGATTTTTGTTCCCATGCTTAGTTCTTTTGTGTTATTTCGTTTTGTTTGTAACCATGTGACATCATTTATTCAATTACATATATAATGAGATATCAGTAATTGTTGTGTATCTTTGCTATTTTTTATCAAAATCTTTCGAAAGATGTGTTAATTTAACCTACATCATTAAGCATACTGTTTTTTGAACAAATCCATCAAAAATAGCAAAGATACACAAGAATTACTGAAATCTCATTATATATGTAATTGAGTAGGCTAAATGACGTCACATGGTTACAAACAAAATGAATATCTCAAGAACTACGAATGGGAACAAAAATCTTCAAAGCAAGTTACTATACAGTTTTAAGAGCATTTTCGTTTAAGAGAATAGAAATTTTGATGACAGTGCCCCTTTAATTAAATCAGTTTTGTCAAGAAAATTATACTCTGATTTCTGTTCATATGTTCGCTTTTTCGGCATTATTTTTTTCAAAAATATGTTTTTTAACCAGTGTAAAAGTATTTGCTAACCTGTAAACAGTTGCTGGGATTTTTTTCATTTTGTTTTTATTGCCGTTAAGGCTATAAAAAAGCGAATAACGTGCTGTTTTCTCATACGCAAAACTCCGGTAATTCTTGCGCCGCCATCTTGTTTTCTCTACTAGCAGGATATGAGCTAATATCCTGCTAGTAGAGAGCCAATCAGATTGCAGAATAGCTTATATCCAGTTGCTGTCTATATAAAAATCACCCTTATTTCACAAGCTATACACAAAATGATCAGCCGAATACGTCTTATAATATGTCCAAACAGATAAGTCGTCTTTACATTAAAATAGCCAGTGATTTTTTTAAAAAAAATCCAAGGTCGTTTATATATAACTTGGACAAGTATTTTTAAACTGGGTTTAATGAATCCTGTTAGCATTTATTATATAGGCTATCATTTGAAACATTTTCGCGTACAATATTTGGTAAAGAAATATTTCTCTGACTTGTGAATGTTTGTAACTCATATTCTCGATATTTTAGATACATGAGTCGTGTTGAATTGGTGAAATTTCTCATTGAATCAAATTTCTACGAATTGCCGTCAATTGAAGATCTGATGTCATCACAAACGGCAAGGTAAGTGGGATTAAGGTGAAATGCTGATGTGAACGGATTAATATCTCTATACTCTTTCTATATATTAGCTTTTTAATATATGCAAATTAAGTGTTTCCCCTCCAATCACGCTTTCCTCTCTTATCCTTGGCTTACCCCTTGTACCCTCTAATCCGTCCGTCCACATCCTCGTTTCAGCCGAATCTAAGGAAAGCTATAATGGCGAATTATTGTTAGTTGATGTTTTTCGGCCCGACAAATCGAAATATGTTAGCCCACTCACATTTGGCTCGCTATATGCTTTATCGTACTTATCAAAGATATGCACATGCGTTAGATGTTTAGTAAGGCTAGAAACAAATTACGACGCTGTATTTCGGTCGCATGTGCACACCTGTACACCGCATTAAAAATTAGTAAGTCATGTTCGAGGGATGTTTATGAAAGTTATGAATACTATATTATTCAAAAGCCGGGATGTTTATGAAAGTTATCAATAGTAATTCAGATTTTAAATGCGTGCTAATGATGCGTGAGATTGTCTCCATGGACAGTAAACACTAATAAAGTAAACAAATAAATTCATTTTACTGCAAGCCAAGTATTAAACGTTAAAGTAATAAATTCATTTTACAAGTAACATAAAGATTAGCTCGCAACTGATCTTTATGGGCATTTAAGTTGAAAATGTCCATAAAGATCAGGTGCTCATATTTTAACTAGTACGTCATAACTGTCGTGAACATGTCAAAGTGATCGATGTAATAGAGTGTCGATGTATCTTTACAACATAAAAGACTATATAGATAGACTATTTCACATCGTCGAGATGGTCACGACGGTAATTTACATATTGTTATTGTACAAACAAGTAAAATAACAATATGCAAATTAGGTAAATGAATGAATTAAGCATTCGTGCATGATAGTCATAAAAAATTTCATGAAATGAACGGATTTTTGAAATTGATAGCCGTTTCAAAATTGTCTGCTTTTTTATACACCCTGTATATTCATTACAAGCTCGCATCATACTGTGATACTGTGATATGCCAATCTGGCTGAACCAGTTACTGTGCATCGATTAGTTTCCATTGTAAATTGTAGAAAAGTTGAACTTTATTGGATAGCCTACTTACGACTTTACGCTTGACATATCTTGGTAAAAAGTAATTTCTTCCAAGTCAAATTACAAGTCGCAAAGTTTGCGACTTCAGTCCACAACTCCGCTACTGTTTTCTTCGCTCTCTCGCCCGCGCTCTGAATTTCAGCGATTAACTTTATAAGCACACACAATGGTGCAGAGAGAGCGAGATGTGGGCAGTTAAATAAAGGTGGTGATTCTCTTTTGAACGAAAGCAACAGGACCATTGGAATGACACACGATGTACGGGATGACACAATCGTTCGATTTACAAATGAACATTGTGCTTTCCAGGTCGCCTTTTCTAGAGTAACGTAGAAAGTAAAACGAGTCCTTTCCCCTGCTATAGGTTAGGACAATTGTTTTTCCTATCACATAATGAAATACAAACCCTTTAACTACGTGACCTTTTGGTACCTTTATTGTTGACTTCAAGGTTCCGTCTTTGGTGTACATACACACACCATCTCGATTATCTGACCGTGTCATGATTTCATTCTTGTCAGAAATGCACAAAGTGTGCAACAAACGTTGGTCCCGTTCAAACTTGTGTTTTAAATGTCCGGTATTGTCACAGATGTACACGTTATAGTCGAGATTTTCGATTATGATAATGTCATAGTTCTTGTCCATTGCAATTTTCACCATCATTCTGTGTGTTGCATCAAGAAACTCCAACGTACACTGATACTGTACATCGTAATTATCATCCAATGCATTCATCACATAACTTTTAGTATTCACTGCATTACCTGAAGTGTTTGTTTGTGTTTGAAGCCATCTGATGGCGTACACGTTATCCTTGCTATCCACAGCTAGTGCCATCAGTACTTGGTAGATCAATTCGCCATCTTGGGGCTCAGGAAAATTAACCACCTTGATTTCCTTTGTGCTAGAAATAATTTTTATAGCGCCACTACTCCGTGTGATTATCTCACTTCGGCTGTTCACAACAGCAGAATAAGGCTTTATTACTTCAGTAACCAGGTGTTTTGGTGATTGAATCATTTCATCCGACGGCGCTTGTTTCCAAACCTCGTACCAACCGCGTGCAGGGTTAAAATTGCGCTCAGACAACTCAATTGTCGGCCAGCATTGCACGTCGGGATATTTACCACCGAATTTCGCACTGAACTCAAAAATGATGAAATTTGTTAGCATGACTGATTTGACCTTCTCGAATCGTTCGGCTTTATTTAGCTTTGACTTAAGCCCACCGCTTAAATAAACTGAGAATATTTGTCGAACGGCAGACAAACCATGAAGCTCTTCAAGGAATAATCTACAAGCGGTTGTTGTTGAATCCGGATTTTCGAGGTACTCGAGAATTCTGGCAACGACACGTAATTTGCACGCCATTATTCTCTCTGTAACATTCAGGCCTTCGTTCCAGAAAGCTTCCGTAGCTCTTTCTCGGGCTGTTTTAAAAAGATCTTTAGCAGATTTAAAGTGCTTTTTCGATACGAGACTTAAGCTTTTCGTGGCGTGAGCTAGTGTCAAGGCTTCGTTGAAGATACCACACTCGCCATCTTTCGGTATAAACACTGATGTTTCATTTTGACCGTTTTCAGCTTGTTCTGGTGCCGTTGTATGCTTGACATTAGATTGGTCAAGCGCTAGATTAAGTAAAAGCACACCTTCTTTCAAGAAACTGTAGCTGCTGAGTGGATCTTTACGGGATAAACAGTCGAGTGTGGTTTTGATGTCGTTTAAATCTCGAATAATTATTTCACGAAATTTTTCATCCGTCGTGTCGCCATCTTTTAGCTTTTTTGCTGCGAAATCACGCGCCTTGTTCCACAGTAAGCCCACGGTTGAACTTAGAATATTCGTAATAACAGATGCCATGCCGAAATGATTTGTAAAGCAACTTATCGTAGAGTATATCGTGTTGTATTCTGTGTAGAATGATGTCATGATTAAAAGTAATAATATGTTGTTCCTGTCACATGACATGTCAGTGGAATGTGGGAATGGCTCAAGGGTAATCAGTCATTTATGAGAGTAAATTTTGACACAACAGGCATAAACACAAATAAACTTTGAGTTAGCAAGACTTTGATCAGTAATATTTTAAATTTGTAAAATTAGTGATATGATTTAGTTTGAAGATAACTGTCTCCATAGTTACCGGCGTAAAGACGTCTTCAAATATTATTACTGAGTTCCGAAATACCCACGCTTGCTTCCTGTAATTGCACTTCCCGAATGGGAAAGTGTATTCAAAACCTCATTAATAATTCATGAGGAAAACACAAAGAAAAATCATAAGCGTGTCGTATCATTATTTATTATATGGACAATGGTGTTTTACTGGAAACTAAAACACTCATAGAACTCATACGTCACTACATCCGGGGCCAGATGCGCGTATTTTCCGTATTTCACCCCTGCTAGTGACATACGAAGTTCGAAAATTTCACGTCCATCATCACGTTGAAACGAAAACATTTAAAAGACATCTTGAGATAATCGCAGTGCGTGTTTTATCGGACCTAAAGAGACTCGGCTTCGCCTCGTAATTTTATATCTGATAGAACACTGCTGCTCATCTTTTAAACAGTACTTAAATCACCGTTTATCTGTTTACCGATCGAGGAAACGAGCTATGTTTATGGTGTTTTCCGCTTACCTAGATCGCTGCCCCACGTAAAATGGCCGGCGTTAATAAATACGAATTAATCAATTTTTCCCCCTTTTATCTAGGCGACTTCGCGACAAATTGATAGAGAATGAAAGTCTGACCTTAGCAATGGAGGTGACTACAAAATGTGGTCTTGATGCGGGAGCTGTGTGGGGAGCCTGGGGTCTAGCATATCTTCAAGTCGGAAAATTTAAGGAAGCTCGTCAGAAATTCAGTAAATTCTTGAAGGTATGTTGCTTTTTTTCTAAATATTTGATCGTCCGCATGTCTATTTGTCTATGCATCTTATTTTTGGCACATATCACTGGCGTCAATCTCAAACCCTGAACCTGCAATCCTCTGTGGAGGCTTGCTGGGGCTCTGGGAAACACCAGCAAATTTTGCTCGAAAATCAAATTTTGTATCGAAATTTGTAAACCAGGTGGGGGGGGTCTTTTCAAAAACTAAAATAGCTTGCGCTGAGACGGAAGCTTTAAGAGAGGCTGTCTGTAAATATCGCCTATGTCGTGCAGAACGTAAAATATCAAAATCGCTCAAACTTTGTCAAAATGTAAGTTAGTTGGACCTGATAATATAAATATGTGTTTAACTTTGATTCGAAAAATATTTTTAACGAGAAGTCGATATTTGTGTTCTCACGGCTGACGGGCGTATTTTCAGTGCGATACAAACTACTTCAGATTGAGCTTGTTTATGCTGGTAAATCAAAAGTACTGCACATTTAAACTTATTTTTCGTAAAATACAAACACCAATGTACAAGTAGCAGCTCTCAAAGTCGAATTTGATGTAGATTTGAATATTTTATCGATTTTTCAACTTGTCGCTTGTTTTACGCAACTTTAGACTATGTCCGATTAAAATCCATATATCGCCACTGATACCTCGAATTAGAACATGAACATTATATCAACGTTTTCAGCAAGGATTGATCTTTCGATAAGTGAAATAAAATTTTTGGGCCATAAAAAATTTCAAGAGTTTGAGCGAATAATGGAAGGGTCAGATTGCCCCAAAACGGCTGTTTAGCCCTAAAACGGCTGTTTACGCAAGGCGGCAAAATGAATGAATTGCCTTGAATATATTCTTGTTAGCTAAATAAATAGCAAAGCAATGTGAAATATTGTACATTAACTGAAGTTCGTGTCGTTCTTCAGCTTTTTAAGCGTTAATCGTAATATTATTAATACATAATATCAAACGGCTGCAGTACGCTAATGACTTAAGTGTAATAATATCTACCTTTCTATAGCGAAATCTTCTTTGAGCGCTCTCTGTGGAACCCAATGAACTTCGAAAATGTTCTTATGACTTACAGTCGATTCTACATAACTTTTGTCAAATGTTCCGAACTTCTTTCTGATCACGAAGCTCATAAATTCGACTTAATTCGTTGCGAAGTTCAAATGTCCGTAATAAAATTCACAAGCCAGTTTGTAAACAAAGCCTCTGATTGGCTTCTTTTAATTTACGTAGATTTATCTAGTTATCTATTAATATGTTTCTAATAATAAATAAAAATACGGTGAATAAGAGGAATTTTCAAGAAATTAGAGTTATTACTCAGCAAATTAATGTGCATGAAATAAAATATAATATGATGCAGACTTATTTTTATTTGGTATACTTTGGTATATCGTCAGCTGTGTTCAATTACATTGTTGACGTTAATAAAGGTTTATTGTAATAAATGTCGCTGTCACTTTTAACCCATAACATAAATCGCAATTTGTCGCTTTTTTCCAGTCAGAAGCTGTTGTTTGTAGCTCTTTTTTAGAGAGTCTGTCGCCTCTTTTTAAGGAATGTCGCCTGTCGGCTATAACCCCTTGGTGCGCCTCATTAACCGAATAAATTAGTTTGTCGCGGAGAAAGATTTTAGTGTTGCTGTAAATTTGCGAAGCTGTCATTCTTTTGTTTAATTAATAAAGTTCAATCGAATACATTTTTATTGTTAATTGTTAATTCGAGGGGTATGGCCCGGTGCACCTTTTTTGGTGCAGGTGCAACACTCTAAGTCTAACCCTTAAATAACGAAACTCGGCAAAAAAGTCGCTAGCGTTTTCATCCATGCACTATATGTGCTCGATAAAATTACTAATGTTTCTGGCCTTATTTAACATAACTTAACTTACTGCATGAGGAAAGATTGCCGACATAGCTATGCATGGGCTTCCTGTCTTGTGCACTTGCGATATTATTACACCCGTTTTCAAAATTACGCGACCAAGGACGAAAATGCTAGAGTTTACATGTCAGTTTTATGGTCATTCGGTCACGAAGTTTAAACTTTGAGTTTTGCGGTTTCTTGTCGATGTATATGCTTTGTATGCTTTATATAAACAGGCTTACAATGATTTTCAAGATATTTTAGTGAGAATTATTGCAAAATTCAAGAACAAACAAAATCATAACATCACCGTTACAGTCTAGCGCGCGTGTTTTATACTAACAGCTAAATTCCAGGATAAATTGCTATTTTTCAAACTTTAAAAGTTATTCACGGCACATATTTCTGTTGTGATAGTTTGTATTGTGCTTTAGTTTGTATATCTAAGTTATCTAACTCATTTTTGTTCAGTTTTGGTATTAAATACGGTTTAAAATGTCTTTTGACAGTTTGTTTACGTTTGCTATTTTTAGCAGTTTTTGTGACATAAAACTGACATTTGAAGTAAGAGTATTTTTCAGTAAGAGTATACTGACTTTAGCTAATATATTGTACAGTATCTCGCATATTTTTTTACAGAATATTAAATCCACTTTCTTGAAAATTCCTCTTATTGACCTTTTATTTATTAATTATTGGGTAACACAATAGATAACTAGATAAATCTACAACATTAAAAGAAGCCAATCAGAGGCTTTGTTTACAAACTGGCTTGTGAATGTTATTACGAACTTTTGAACTTCGCAACGAATTAAGTCGAATTTATGAGCTTCGTGATCAGAACGAAGTTCGGAACATTTGACAAAAGTTATGTAAAATCGACTGTAAGTCATAAGAACATTTTCAAAGTTCATTGGGTTCCACGGAGAGCGCTAAAAGAAGATTTCGCCATAGAAAGGCAGATATTATTACACAAGTCATTAGTGTACGGCAGCCGTTTGACTTCAAATAATATTGCGATTAACGCTTAAAAAGCTGAAGAACGACACAAACTTCAGTTAATGTACAGTATTTCACATTGCTTTGCTATCTATTTAGCTAACAAGATTATATTTAAATTATAATCCGCTATTTTTCAAGGCAATTCAATCATTTTGCCGCTTTGCGTAAACAGCCGTTTTGGGGCAATTTGACCCTTCCATTACTCGCTCAAACTCTTGAAATTTTGTATGGCCCAAAAATTTTATTTCACTTATCGAAAGATCAGTCCTTGCTAAAAACGTTGGTATAATGTTCATGTTCTAATTCGAGGTATCAGTGGCGATATATGGATTTTAATCGGACATAGTCTAAAGTTGCGTAAAACAAGCGACAAGTTGAAAAATCAATAAAATATTCAAATCTAGATCAAATTCGACTTTGAGGGCTGCTACTTGTACGTTAGTGTTTGTATTTTATGAAAAATAGTTAAATGTGCAGTACTTTTGATTTACCAGCGTAAACAAACTCAATCTGAAGTAGTTTGTATCGCCCTAAAAATAGGGCCGTCAGCCGTGAGAACACAAATATCGACTTCTCGTTAAAAATATTTTTCGAATCAAAGTTAAACACATTTTTATATTATCAGGTCCAACCAACTTACATTTTGACAAAGTTTGAGCAATTTTGATTTTTCACGTTCTGCACGACATAGGCGATATTTACAGACAGCCTCTCTTAATCGTGTTTTGAGTTAATGGGTGAAGGACGTGTTGGGTGTGCTATGGTCAGAGGAGCAGAACATCGTTCTCAACACATGCACGAAAAAGAATTTTGGATTTTGATTATTTAATGTGGAAATAAGCTTAAACACGAAAACGAGGCTAAGGGGCCAGGTCCCTTAGCCTCGTTTTCGTGTTTAAGCTTATTTCCACATTTAATAGTCAAAATCCAAAATTCTTTTTAATGCATGTGTTGACGAAGGATGTTGTGTTTCTCTGACCATGACCCCTGAAAAACAAACTTAAAGGACATTGGCAACGAAAATTTTTATTGGCTATTTCAATCCTACTTGACAACAACTGAACTATGAAAATATTATCATTTCCTTCTCGAACATTTTAGTCTACGAGTAAAATGCATGCAAACTTTGTGTTTCGGCCAGTTTCGCCGCCATCTTGGAAAAAATTTTTGAAAAATTATCTCGAAGGTCAATGAACTTTGTGACGTCATTGGCTGTGTAGCACCAAAACTACAAGAGAGAATTCTATTGCGTTGCGTGTTATGTTGGCTAAAAATATGTGGTTTTGAGCGTTATACTGGCCAACACTAGTCTACACTATCAGATAAAAACATATCGAGCGACTGGGAAAGCAAGAAATGGCGCAATTTACAATACAGGTAATTGATCATAAAATATTGCATTAGTATTTGTCTTGTTACACTCGAATTTCTGCGCTTATTTAACACGGAGTAGGATATATACTATGAGAAATAGTGTTACAAACCAGTTACATACTTGGTAAAACTTTTCTGCCTTTTGTTTTGGCTCAAAATGCACTACGCGTGGTAATACACGGTATTGTTTATAGTCATGAGATTGTGTTTACCCAGCCAATGACGTCAGATAATATATTTTGTGGCATAAATTAGCATACGCGCTTATTTTCAAAATGGCGGACAACTGTTCAAATTTTCTCAAATTCAATCAAATTTTCTCAGCAACTAAACGCGACAAACCGGCCAAAATATGAAATTAAATATTCCGTAAGTATACCTAATAGATATAAGTAATAAAAATTTTGGTTGCCAATGTCCTTTAAAATCCATTCCATTTAAGGTGTTCCTAAGTTGAAAACTGTGTTAGTCGTGACGTAATTACCGGAAAGGTCTATTGCTGCACGAAATTTCAGACAATTTGCTTCAGTTTAATTAAGCTATCAGCCTTTTGCATGCTTAATTAATGCCTTTGCCTAATTTGAATATGTCAGCAATATGCAAATTAGGTAAAAACATTAATTAAGCATGCAAAAGGCTGATTTTCAGTTCAGGAAAAAATGAATAGTTAAAGGCTTAAACTTTAGCAAATTGTCTGAAATTTTGTACAGTAATTAAAAACCCAACATGTTTTCCATTTATTAACTCAAAATACGATTAAATCTTTTTAAATCTTCGTGCTTTAAAGAGAACTCACAAAACGAAAGTAGAATCAATTTTTAGAAGGAATGTAAAGCCAAGCATGAAGTCCTGTTTTGGAAGATGGTTAGCATCTACTGATTGGTCATTCCTTGAAACACTATCAAACTGTACGGAAAAACTCGCTGCTTTCCAATCTTTGCTAAATTTTGCTCTCGAAATTTTCTTCCCACTCCGAAAAATCAAACAACACCCAACAGACAGGCCTTGGATTACTCCTGAACTGAAGAGTCTAATCCAGCAACGACAACAAGCAATGTCCAAAGACCCTCTTGTTTACAAAAAATTGAGAAATAAAGTTAACAGGCTAAATAACAGTCTTAGGAGTTCCTTTTTTGCAAATAAGGTAAAAAACTGTGACAATGTAGCTTCCTGGTGGAAATCCATCAAACAACTTGGAGGACTTCCTACGAAATTACCAGTATCCAGTGTTTTTGTATCGGGCAAAGAATTCCATTCAACCGAATTAGCAACACAAATTAACAAAAGCTTCCTGTGTATCACAAACTCTCTACAACCTCTAAACAGCCAATTGGAAAACGTTGAAACTGAAGCTGCAGTAGTTAATTATTTCAAAATACCACATCCTGAAGATGTTTTTACGAAGCTCTCCAACCTCAAACGCACTAAAGCCTCGGGTCCTGACAACTTGCCAAGTTGGGTCTTAAACGAGTTTGCCATGGAACTCTCATCACCCGTTGCTGAAATTTTTAACGCGTCAATCCAAGAGAGTTGTACCCGTTTCATGGAAAGTAGCAGATGTAATACCTATTCGTAAAACAGATAAGGTTAAGGAAATTGAAAATGATCTACGCCCAATATCTCTAACACCAATTCTCTCAAAAACCTTGGAACATTTTGTCGCAGAGTGGATTATGTCACAGATCAGACCCCTCGTTGACAGGAAACAATTCGGATCACTCGCCGGCTTATCTACAACTCACGCTCTTCTATCCTTTTTTCATCATCTGTATGGAACTACCGACCAATCTGACCAATGCGTGCGTGTGCTGCTTCTGGATTTCAGTAAAGCCTTCGACAAGATTGATCACCATATTCTTATCAAGAAGATGGAGGAAATGGCCATCGATCCCGTTCTTATCGCGTGGGTAACACAGTTTCTTACTGGCAGGAAACAGCGAGTGAAGATAGGTAAATACACCTCAAGTTTCGAACCAGTGAACGGTGGGGTTCCACAAGGCACTTACTTAGGTCCGATTCTATTTATGATTATGACAAACGATTTGTTGGTTGATTGGGACGATAGATGGAAATATGTTGACGATTCGTCTGTTTCAGAAACCCTTTCTAGAAACCAAGATTCGAACTTTCAAACTATTTTAGAAGGAATTACGCAGTGGTGTGCAAGAAATAACATGTCCTTAAACCCCCGTAAATGCAAAGAAATCCTCGTTTGTTTTTGGAAACACAATCCAAATTTCCCTCCAATGATCGTTGACGAACAGCCCATTGAAGTTGTGAAATCCGCTAAACTCCTTGGCTTAATTTTCAAGGACGACCTAAAGTGGAATGACCACGTGGCTTACATAGTGAAAAAAATCGCAAAACGCCTTTACATGCTTAGACTCCTCAAGCGAGCTCGTTGTGACACTAAAACATTGATATCAGTGTATTTTTCATGTGTAAGACCCATCTTGGAGTATTGCGTCCAAGTTTGGCATTATAACATACCTGAATACCTATCCAAAGAAATAGAAAGGATCCAGTCAAGAGCGTTGAAAATAATTAACCCATCGTCATCATACAAAGAATCCTTATCAGATCTCAATATCCCAACATTGTATTCTAGGCGCGAACTGTTATGTTAAAAAAATTTTAGAAAAAAGGTTCTTCCGCAAACTAGTCCTCTTTCCGAAGTAGTTGAACCAGCCGAACATCCAAGCTACAATCTACGGACATCGAATAAACTCGTTCCAATTAATTGTCGGACAAATCGCTTCAAAAATTCGTACATTCCCTCGTCTGTAACGATTTATAATAAACATTGAGTAACTATAAATTACATACATTTTTATTTGTAAATAATGGTAATATCATACTAGAAGTTCTAAACTCTTCCTATATTATAGTAAATATGTTTTTGTAAATATACAATATTTTTCTAATCAACCAACCCTGTAAATGATAGATGTATTTCAACCTTCATGGTTGCAAAGTCTATATTTTATTAATAAATTTTAAAAAAAATTCAAATTAAATTTCATGCGCAAGCCATTTTTAGTTTCTTGGAAAAGAAAAACCCCTGGTTTACACAATTTGAGTTCGAGTATTTTTTTCATTCTACATTATGGGTACTCAAGGAATCTATATGTACCTATATACGAATCTATGATACCACGAGTTCTTTTGCGATATTGAGAGCAATTTCAAATCTGTTCAGTTTTTTTTATACTCCCTGTATATGTTTGTTTTCTAGCCGTCAGAGCGTGGTAAAACGACTCAAGGCAACATTCGTTATGTCAAGATGATTATCGATATTCTGGAAACATCTCCTATGGTTTCATTTGATTATCTCACTGTTGTAAGTACATTGAAAAAAAAACACCGCGGGGGTACTTGAACTAAAAAATTCGAGGCTAAAATAGTGCACCCACAGTGACTCCAAATATTGACTCAGGGCTGTTTTGTAGTGATATAGTATATTGTTGTTGTGATTGGCTGATTTATGTTCACGTGGCTGTATGTAAATGCAATGTATCCCGCCGGGCAACAAATAAAATATTGTTACGTCATCAATAAATAAAATGGCGGCACAACTCGCAAATTTATAAACTACGATTTTCCAAGTTTGTGTTAAAATAGAGAATGCATGTCAAGGCCTGATTCCACGAAGGCGAAATTGTCAAGGCCTGATTCCACGAAGGCGAAATTCTTCGCAAGAAATTGTGTCTGCGTATACGGATGGTTGCACATGACCGATTCCAATGAATTTCCCACTTTTTCCACTTTCGCAGTGAGTAGAACTGACTTCTACTTACTGGTGAAGCGAAATTTTTTCTAGTCGCGAAGCCTAATTTATCTTTACTGCGCATGTACCTAATTCACTTCGCGCGAAATTTTTCGCATTTCGCCGAATTAACACCTTCGTTCACCATACTTACCCGTTTGGATGGTGAGGTGTTAGCCCGGGTGACCGAAGGGTGGCCTGGAACGACTACTGGTACTACTGTTACTTGGACTCGGGTTAAGATCCATGCCAGTGGTATCTTGAGCAGACCACCCCGCAGGGCTAACACCTTCACACCAATTAACAATTGGTGGAAATATAAAAGAACAGGAGAGAAAAAAAAATCTTTGTTCCTAATACGTTACTACGCCTCCAACGCACAATGATTACTAATACCACCAATGCGCGGCCAACCTCTTATTACATACTCGCCCGGCCCCCTTTTGGTCACATGATGTGCCGACGTAACGAGGCTTGATTCCCTAGCTGTTAACCTTTGTTATTGCATAACCTCATTTAACACCTTCCTTCACCATACTAACCCGTTTGGATGGTGAGGTGTTAGCCCGGGTGACCGAAGGGTGGCCTGGAACGACTACTGGTACTACTGTTACTTGGACTCGGGTTAAGATCCATGCCAGTGGTATCTTGAGCAGACCACCAAGGGTGATGAACCATCACCCCTCCAAGGAACAGCCTTAACCAGCGTAATGCGAATGGCGACCCACCAGCGATACCATGCCGCATGGTAGAAACCGTAGCAAAGTGTGGGCCCCAAGCGGTACCAGACTGTATGGTACACAACGGAACGAATTACAATTTGCGACCCACAAGCGACCAACCGGTATGGTATAAAACGTAGCGAATTGTGGGCCACCAGCGGTACCAGACTGCATGGTATACAACGGAACGTACTACCAACTTGCGACCCACCAGCGGACCAAGCAATTGTAGGCCACAAGGGGTACCAGACTGTATGGTACTCAACGGAACGTATTATAAACTTGCGACCCACAAGCGAACCAAGCAAATTGTGAGCCACAAGCGGCACCAGACTATATGGTATTCAACGGAACGTATTATAAACTTGCGACCCACAAGCGAACCAAGCAAATTGTGAACCACAAGCGGTACCAGACTGTATGGTACTCAACGGAACGTATTGTAAACTTGCGACCTACAAGCGAACCAAGCAAATTGTGGGCCGCAAGCGGTACCAGACTGTATGGTACTCAACGGAACGTATTATAAACTTGCGACCCACAAGCTAACCAAGCAAATTGTGAACCACAAGCGGTACCAGACTGTATGGTACTCAACGGAACGTATCATAAACTTACGACCCACAAGCTAACCAAGCAAATTGTGAGCCACAAGCGGTACCAGACTATATGGTACTCAACGGAACGTATTATAAACTTGCGACCCACAAGCGAACCAAGCAAATTGTGAACCACAAGCGGTACCAGACTGTATGGTACTCAACGGAACGTATTGTAAACTTGCGACCTACAAGCGAACCAAGCAAATTGTGGGCCACAAGCGGTACCAGACTGTATGGTACTCAACGGAACGTATTATAAACTTGCGACCCACAAGCGAACCAAGCAAATTGTGGGCCACAAGCGGTACCAGACTGTATGGTACTCAACGGAACGTATTATAAACTTGCCACCCACAAGCGAACCAAGCAAATTGTGGGCCACAAGCGGTACCAGACTGTATGGTACTCAACGGAACGTATTATAAACTTGCGACCCACAAGCGGACCAAGCAAATTGTGGGCCACAAGCGGTACCAGACTGTATGGTACTCAACGGAACGTATTATAAACTTGCGACCCACAAGCGAACCAAGCAAATTGTGAGCCACAAGCGGTACCAGACTGTATGGTACTCAACGGAACGTACTATAAACTTGCGACCCACAAGCGAACCAAGCAAATTGTGGGCCACAAGCGGTACCAGACTGTATGGTACTCAACGGAACGTATTATAAACTTGCGACCCACAAGCGGACCAAGCAAATTGTGAGCCACAAGCGGTACCAGACTGTATGGTACTCAACAGAACGTATTATAAACTTGCGACCCACAAGCGA